ATGACTCTTGCAGTGTTCTACACCACGTCATTAATTGTATCCAGCAACTTGCGGGATACTTGTGTAGCTATCTCTTCGGCATAGGCATTTGAATGGAAAACTCAAATGCTTTCAGATGCTCATTTGCTACGAGTGACCACGGTGGTGGTGGTGTTAGTACGTCCTACTGAGAAGCTTCACTGAGGGTTAGCCTGTACATTCTGGCTTCTTTTCGCGTTAACCCTCCTTCAGCTTAGTAGGGTACTTATTCAAAATAAGATGATATGCTGTAACTGGGCTGCTTCCAGGCTAGTCGCAATTGTGTCATTGGAGACATTGTTGCACGCTCCACTTATGTCCAGAAAGACATCTAGAGCGTATTCCTTATACTCTAGAGCTGATTCTATATTTCAAGCTATCTACCTGTGCTGCCCTTTTGATCTGTTAATCGAGTTAATTAGGTTTTGCCGCCTATAATCTTTGCGAGTGTCTTCCGAAGGAATGAGGTTAGACTTATTGGTCTATATTAGGGATTTACGTTCCTCGCATTTGGTGTGAAATCGACCATGCCTCTCTCCAAAGGACAGGCACATAATGGAACCCAAAATGTCCTAAATTATTACAGGTATGTTACCAGGACTGCAGAGACTCTCTACTCTGTAGACTTTGCACACCTTGGCAAATGTGTTGATTAGATTTTTCAGTGAACCCTCACAGCACCCAGTCCACTCTTCACACTATTTTTGTTATAGCCCAAGAATACTCCAATACTTTAATGTTCCTTTGGGTTTTTTCCATCATAATTAGAAAGCCAAGCGGACCGTTTATTCTCTAACAGAGCTTTCAGATGCCAAGCGTGATATCGTTTTTAGAGAGCAGAAATATATTAATAGGAAAGTAATAATAGAGCTCTATAGATGCAGAGTAGACATTTTGGTAACCCTAAAGGCTCTTTCATCATCAAAATATAATTGGAAAATTAGAATCTGCATCTCATGCTTTTGATTGGGAAAAGCGCCTGTACTAAATGAAAAACCCTATCCCTTTTAGTGGTCTTAATTAAATTTCGATCTGGTTGTGAATTTAATTTTTTTTTAGAAACCTCGCATATTTTTAGCAAGCAAAAGATCGTCAAAAATCGATTGACCTGCATTTCGTGTAGAAACAAACAAAAAAAAATGCGGATATAATGAAGAATGACTTAGTGGCGACATCTGTTGCAACCACTGTACAGTATTTGGGCGTACAACTATGGCTCTGTTTTTTTGCACTGTATATAAATTTCGTATGTATACACATATGTATATGTACGTACGAGTATATAGTATGGGAAGACCTTGCGTATGGATTTTCTTTGCTGACGTTGGTAATTTGTGCTAGTTTTCAAATTTGTCCTTAAGCAGGTGAAGAAAAAAGGTTTTGTTAGCATCAAAAGTTTGTGTACTTACATAGATATACTGTTATATATACTAGTATTTATCTATATTACAAAAGGAATTTCGAGGTGATGACGCTTTCGTGTGTCGATAATAAAATTGCTTTAACTGCAAGGATTATCTCTCCTCTTACAAGTTGGTTTTAGCACTTCTAAAGGTGAATCGACGTTGAAACTGCCTCCTTGACTTTATCAACGTTGTAAAATTTTTACCGCTCAGCACTTTTTCAATTTCTGCAAACGGATAATAATCACTTAGTGGCAGTACCGAGCTGTAGGCTGGGTGATGCAAATAGGCGAAGCCCACCTTATGCAGGCTAACCAAAGCAACACGGCTTTGATTTTTGCGGCGGCGTGAGCATTCTCAGCGTTGACCTTAGTCATGCCCATATGCTCGTGGAAGATTTTGAAAATGATTGTGTGGGATAATCCCATCATTTTTGCGAGCATGATTTTTTTAACTTTTTCGAATAGTTTTGTTGTGATCACGTGGATGCTGCTGTCTAATCTCGGTTTGTCTTCAAAGGATTTCCTTCCTTGTTTAAATGAACTGTGCCACTATAACTTCATGATTTTTCCCGTATAAGAGTCACGCTATTACCAATGACAGCTCATTCATTATGGCTGCAAGTGAGTTTTCGTTGCTTGTGGAGCGATCGATTTTTTTCCATATTTCACTCATTACTTGCGATTTTTTTATTAGGTGGATTTATTGTCTAATAACAATGAAACCTTGTATATATACTAATAATAAATTACGACCCTTACGGGCCTAATTAACCGCTTACTACCCTCTCATACGGGGAACATAAAAAAGGTTTCTTCATAAAATTTGTCACTTAGAAATCTATTTTTCGGTTCGTATTACAACATTCGTGAAGGTACCACCCGATGTCACTTCGGATTTATAGCAGCTGTGAACGATCATATGCTTATTTCGAATTGTTATTTGTTCACAAAATTGTATTCGATGAATTCCGTAGAAGAGTTTTTATGTTGCTAATAAAAAATACCAACCGAAAAAAATTAATGCAAGAAAAATTAATAAAAAAAAATAATAAAAAAAATATTTTAAAAAAATAATTTCCAGCAAGCTCTCTGAAAATCTGACTTGCGGATGAACTCTTTTTAAAGAAGCATTCATCAGTGTATTTGTGTTGAAGTGCTTGCGAGCCGGCATGGAGGATCGGCCCAGCCATATTTATACTGATCGAGTCAGATCGACGAGTTGACGACAATTTATCCATTTCCGTCTCTTCGTCTGTTTGTATAAAAGTTAGTTCCACAGTTTTTGTGTTATTTAAACAAAACTTTGTATGCAAATGCACTTTTATATGCACATCGATTTATCAGAACCGACTTGATCGGACCACTACAGCATACAGATATGAGAATTTGGCCAAAAATCCTTCAAAGAAAACTTCAAATAGCATGAAATTTCATATTCTCCACTCATAACAATCGATAAATCATCAAAAGCGGACGACATATATATATCTATATATATATATACATATATATATATATATATATATATATAATATAGACACTTCATAGAATCGATTTGTTCGGATATGAGAATTTTGGTAAAAAAACCGTCAGATTTGGGATTTTAGGTCAAAAACCCCTCAAATGAGCCTCAACAAGTGTGAGAATCGGTATTAACCATATGTGTATACAAATAAATATTGACACCGAAAAGCATCGAAATCGAACAACTACAACATATAGACATAAACATAATCTCAAGTCTGAGAAAATCGGTTGTATGGAGATTTTCTCAGACTGGAGATTTCGTGCCGAAAATCACTCAAATGAGCCTCTATAAGCGTGGGATTTGGTCCTCTATTCATAACTATATAAGACAAGGATTTGCGACAAAAATCTCTTATAATTGTTGAAAAAGAAAATCATAGACATCGGAGGACTATATTAAATCCGTTCAACTGATTTGTTCAAATTAAGGTTTCGAGTCAAATATCCTCCGAAAAAAGCATGTGAGAGCACGAAAATTATAGAAACCGAAAGACTATATCATATAGCGCCCTCCAAACAATTTTTTCGATATAAGAAATAATAAATAAACTTAAAAATAAATAAAATATATTTCATATGGTTATGAAAGGTATGAAGACTTCGATATGGCCCCTCTGATGCGATACACATATGACATCGATTTAAATTTTCAAACATTTTATTTATAGATTAGCAGGAATGGCCTTTAATTTGCTTCAGTGAATCTCCTCAAGTGACATAAAACTATTTCTTCGGAGCGGTCTCTTGAGCTTGTTGTATAGTCAAAAGTCCCAAACATGAATTGTCTTTCCATAAATCTGAAAAAACTTTAGTGAACCTGCGCTTAGAGCTCTCTCTCGTTGATAAATTTGATGAAATGGAATGAATTCATAACGAACAACATCACAGTTTTCGTAGTCACCTTGGAAAATATACTGAGTAGTAAAAAAAATTATCAGGCACTTTTTTAACTGGGTAAATGGTGTGTATATTGCCATATAAATATCACCATCATATCGATCGATTGAAATCTTTCTTTTTTGTTCTTTATTTACTAGCTTATCTACTTAATTTTTACCAATATTTTATTGTATATATAGCCATTAGCGGTATAATCTATAAATTTGTTTTTAATGTGTTATGTATTAACCGTTAAATATATATTTAAAATTTTTTTACGCCTAAGCATACAGTACTGAATTGAAAAGCGTAATACCATTTGGAGGCTCACTTATACACCCGCTCACATCTACATACACATACCATATTTGCCCATCATATATGTAAATTATACAACAAAAACATAGAAAAAACTATTACTTTACATAAATGCATACACAAAAACCCACTCACCCACATTATAGCAATGTTGCGCAACAGTAGCGCCACACAATGGCGTCAATTGGCTGGCGTTAGACAAAAGCAAACAGCGAGCGGTGGCCATCATTTGCATGCAATATCGCTCGATAATTGCATTTGCACGGCAATTATGCACGAATGCATACTAACACACATATGTACATACATATAGGCATACATACTAGGCTAGTTTGCCAATTTGTGCGAACATTTATAATCCTAAATATATATGTATAACATATATTTACATATATATTTATATTATGTACGTGAATGTATTAGTTTTTTTTTTACTGCAATGCTTTTATTATTATTCTGTATACATACATACATATCTATTGTACATAAACCTATACAAATATATGCTTTAGCATCGTCACAAGCACACCTAAATACTATACCAAGCCTTTGCCTTGCAGCTAATGTTACTCATACCACACGGCGTCCCAATCCAACAATATCTGAACTGCTTGCGCCACCTTCAACATCCACTTTTTCATTTCCGCTGGCAGCCATATTGTTTCTGCAGGATTTTATCACTCCGTTTCCCCCCAAAAAAATTTTTCGCCACATTTTAACGCCCACACTGCGGTGGCGCCCCATACACTCCGGGCAGACACATACTCGTACACTCAGGACCCGCATGCTCCTCTCAATACTTTCAACAAACTTAAATTAATTTACATAACCTTTTTTTATTGTGTCTCCCCAGTGTCCGAACACAAATATGTCGCCATCTCTCTTACGCCTGTTACTATTGGCCGCTGCTGCTTGGGGTGTAGCGCAGACGCGTCATATGCCTGCCAAAGAATTGGTAAAGCAGCAAGTGACGTCATTGACATCGTCTTTAAGGGTTGCTCGCAATGATAGCAGCTACTTTGGCAATAATACCAACAACAATGTTACTAGTAGCATTCTTGCCATAACAAACGCAAACAATAACAATAACAACAGCAACAAGGTTTCAACGGAATACGCAAGTGCTGATCATCCACCGCCAACAAAGCAAACGAATATGCAGTTCGAGGACAACGATAACGGCGCAGGCAACACTGTCAGCATCAGTACGCCGAAGAGTGTAGTTGAGAATTGGAGTTTGGTGTGTCAGCAGCTCTGCGGGTAAGTTACTGGGAAAAGTTGAGAAAATTTCCGCAGCAATTGTGTAGCAAAATATGGTTTGGTGTATACATAAGTGTGCGTATTTCCATGACATCTGAAAGCATTTGAAAAAAATTTATGAGCTAATTAAATTAGTTGATAGCAAAAGTTTTGTGACAAGTCAAAACTACTCCGGCAGTGATAAAAATCTTTATTAAAAGCCAAAAGCCAAAAGCCAACAGTAATACCAAATGTCCTTGCCAAGAGAATAAAAACGTGGTGTGCATGTGTTACGATGAGAATGCCAGTGCCTGAGTTTTATGATTAAAATTTGCAAAGCAAAATAAAAATATTTTTGACCTTTGAAGCGAACTCTGAAAAGTTAAATATTTTTTTATTTCATGTTTAATGTAATTTATTTATTTGTTTATGATATTTACAGAGCTGGCTTAGGCGGCGCACCATGTGCTACCCACTGTCAGAGCAGTGATAAGCCGTCGCCTCTACCACATTTTAAAGAGAACAACCAGACAATTTGCAAAGATCTTTGTAGACTACAGCTCGGTAAGTCAAAAAAAAAATGAATTAAAAATTTAAAATGAAAAAATTGTTACTTATCAAATATGATAAAATAATATAATATAAGAACATAATAATTTAAAATATAATAGAATAAAATTATATAGGTATAAAAAATATAATATAGTTTATTAAAAAAAAAAGAAAAAATTATATAAAATATTAAATGAAAAAAAAAACAAAATGAAATAAATTAAAAGCAAAAAACAAAATAATAAGTATAAAATTACATAATCTATATTTAAAAAAAATAAAATATCACAACCTAAAATAAAATAAAATACTTTAAATAATATATTATATTAAATTGAAATAAGATAAAGCAAAATAAAATAAAAATATTATAAATCATATAAATATAAATAATAAAAAAATTAACTAAATTAAAAAATAAACAAAATAAAATAAACTAACCTATATTATATTATAAAAAAGTGAAACAAAATGATATGAAAAAAAATAAAATTAAATTAATAAAATAAAAAACAAAATGATATAAAAAAAAATTAAATTAAATTAAATTAAACGAAATAAAACAAATTAAAATAAGCTTGAATAAAATGAAATGACAAAACAAAATGAAATAAAATAAAACAAAATAAAATGAGTTTAAATAAAATTAAAAATAAAATAATAAAAATGAAAATCAAATAAAATATAATAAACAAAAAAAATTAAAACAAATTATAATACGATAAAATAAATACAATGAAATATATAAATTATAATAAAAAATAAAATAAAATAAAAATAAAATAAAAAATGAATAAAATAAAAAATAAATAAAATAAAAAATATATAAAATAAAAAATAAATAAAATAAAATTAATCAAAGAAAATAACACAAAGTAAAAAACCAATTAAACAAAATAGAAGAGGATGACACTAAATAAAATAAAAATAAAAAAATAATACTAAGTTAAATAAAAAGAAATTAAAATATAATAAAAGTACATAAAAAAATAAAAAAAAATAAAAAAATTACAAATAAAATAAAATATATAAATTACTATCAAATAAAATAAATAAATAAGAGTAAAACAAAATAAAATAAAATAAGCTAAATTAAAATAATTGAAATAAAACAAATTAAAATAAGCTTGAATAAAATGAAATTAAATAAAATAATCTAAAACAAAATGAAATAAAATAAAACAAAATAAAATAAATTTAAAATAAAATAACAAAAATGAAAATCGAATAAAATAAAGTAAAATAAAATATAATAAATAAAATAAATTAAAACAAATTATAATAAAAAAATAATTAAAATAAAATATATAAATTATAATAATATAAAGTAAAATAAATAAAAAAAATTAAATAAAATAAACTAAATTAAATTAAAAAAAAAAAATAAAATAAATAAACTAAAATAAAATAAAACTAAATTAAAATAAACGAAATAAAACAAATTAAAATAAGCCTGAATGAAATGATATTAAATAAAGTAATTTAAAACAAAAAAAAAATAATGTGGACTCAAGTAAACCAAAATAAAACGAAATTAATAAAAAAAACTAAATTAAATGAAAGTGCTACATAAAATGAATTAAATTAATAATATTAATAAAAAAAATTAAATTAATAATAAAACAAAAGGAAAAATTTAAAACCAATTAAAATAAAACAAAATAAAAAGGGATCAAAATATAATGAAACAATATAAAAAAAATAAAAAAGGAAATAAAATGTGAATAAAGTAAAATAAGTTAAATGAAAATTAAAAAAAAGATAGAATATAATAAATTTGAATTTTTATTATTACTAAAATCAGCGTTAATTGGCATTTTTTCACTTATAATGATCTGTAAGAATGTCAACAAACTCTCTTCCTCTTTTTAATTGACATAACGACCTTGACGAATTATACGGTGATGGGTTCACAATAACTATTTTCTGCATCTTCTTCATCTCTTCAGCATATTTTTGCTGTCATTTTTCTCAGCTACGCTTGGAATACTCTCAAGGCGGACAATATTTTTGTTATTCAAAAACGTTAAAAAAATTGAAGTTTGCCAAAGAGTATTTGATCCAAATTTTTTTGCTGTTTTGTTATTTTTATTCCAAAGTATGACGCAACAATGACAACTGATTTTCAAAATTTATAACTAAAAGTAACGGTGTCTGTCTGCCAACTGAAGGATCTGTAACGTGAATAATACTGGCTAACATTAGATTGAAGAATTTGCACTATAGAAAATGCCTTGTTTAAAATCTCTATCAGTACGACTGCTATATGGTTTTCCGAAAACAGACTAAATATCTAGTACCGTTAAATATTAATTACAAACTATCGCTTAGAAGTAGTAGAGGTATAGCTCTGTTTTGAGTGTCAAAGACTGATTTTTAACAACGAGTGTCGATACCTCCTAAAATTTACAAAGATATAAGCTACTCTGGTACCCGAAAATTTCTGAAACCTAAGTCATTTTTTAGTTATTTTGTCTCGCAAAATATTAAATCACACTCATATTTACCTATTTTCTTTTCTCTCTCTCTCTCTTCCATGCACTTCATTTCATTCTCCCAAAACAAAAGGTGATGTCAGTTGCAACTGTACATTTGAAGAATTGGCAATTATTAACGCAACTATGATGTACGAGAACGAATTACATAATGCCGTCTGCAATAGCTTTTGCGAACATAACGGTGCAACGCTGACCGGCTGTAGTGACTGCACAAACAAAATTAATGTGGAAATATCGATGAAAGTGGCGGTAGAAAGTACAACACCTAACTGGAAAGAACTGTGCGTGGAACTATGCAAAACAGGCGATGGCGGGTCTTTGTGCAATTGTAATTTGGCGCCGTTTTTTTAGAAATCTAGCAGAGCAGTGAATTGTTTAGCCAACAGCAAGAACAACAACAGCAAAAGCAACACAATGCAAAACGTACACACTAGAGAAGAAGAAAGTGTATTGCACACGACTGTGGAAATGGGCAACATTTGACACTCTGCGCGGTCTCTAAATTGGAAAACAAAAAATTATATAAATTTTTAACGACGGCGACAAATACACTTTTAACTTAATTATGGTAATTAAAATTATTGGAAATATTTGAAAAGAAATAATTTAACATAAATTAATTAAATTAGTATATCGTTATTAAAGCACAATTGGTTTGTTTATGTACAAAAAAAAAAAAATATTAAAATTTAATTTTTATGACGAATAAGAAGAAATTTCAAAATAATTGGCTACTTATTCTGTTGTTTTAATTATTTGAATTATATTTTTATTTTTTATTTTTATTTCACCTCTATTTTCAATGATTTTGGTGCCTTTAATGCACTGAAACCTCCCCAAAAACAAAAACATAAACGTGTTGGAAAGGCAAGTAAGGCAAACTTGCGTGCGTGAGGCGCAAAAAGCGAACGAAGAATGGATACAAAAACAAAATATCAATCCCTATGCGAATCAATTAATTTGTAATTAATTTGAATTATAGTAAAAAAAAATAAAATCAAAATAAAAAAATCATTAATAAATCTACAAAAACAATTATAGACATAAAAGGGTGTGTAACAACACCTAGATATATATATATATATATACATATACACATAATAAAGTGATGTAGATGTTCATATATACACATATACATAACTATTGCATAGTGTATAAACGATAAATGCATTATTAAATAGCTCATACGTACGTAATTATATACAGAAAGCAAAATACATATGAACATAAATGTACATACATATATACATATTTATATATGTTCATATATTTGAAATTTTTATTTTTTACAAAAGTTCTTACGTTTCAAATTTATTGTTGCACAATTCTTCAATGACTGCTCATTGAGGAAATATCAAGTATAACAACAACAACAACAACAACAAAATCACCAAAGGGCTTCCAGGATGTCAGTTTGATTATATAAGTGCGCTTGCCATCTCACTCATGGCAGGCCATGCTCAATCAACTGGCATACAAATCTCAGAGTGTAGAATAATTGTAGGCATAAAAACCAACAAATAATGTTTAAAAAAATATATGAAGGTTTTGTGCAACAATTCAAAGGAGAAAAAAAACGAAAAAAGCAACTAATATTAATAAATACGAAATTTAATTTCACTTAATTTATTTTTAAGGAAATTTAATTAGATAATTTAAAATAAAAATTTTATTTATTTAAAATAAAAGCATCAAAGATTTATTTGCTATTAAAAAAGAAAATAGTTAATTTTCGGTATTTTTTTTCAATACATTTTTATTTGTTTATTTATTTTGTTTACATATTGTTTTAGGGTTTTAGTATCTTAGACTAATTGTTGATGTATTTTTTTTAATTTTTTTTTTTCTAAAAGTTATTAATTCTTCGCTAGAAAGAATTTTGAGATAATTTCTTGTTAAATATTTAAATATTTTTGAGTCTCAAAAATTCATTTGTTAATTAATTTAAATTTTTTTATTAGTTCTTAGCACAATAACTTAATATTAAATATTATATTGAGCATAATTTATTTTTTTTTTAAGTTTTTATTGATAACTCATGCATAACGCTCTATACATGCAGTTATTAATTTACAAAATAAAAAAATAAAGCAATTCCTATCATTTTCGTAATACAAATTTTTGAAGTTTTTTCCCCAAATTTATTAAAGTATTTAAATATATAATTTTAAATATGGGTAAGTGACCAACATTAATTACTTTTTTTCAAATTTGCATAAATATTATTTTTTTCTAATAAGTTAAATCTTTTTTAAATTTAACTGTACATATTAATTTATTTTCTTTGTTTATATAATTCTTTATTTATATATTTCAGTAATTTATATTTAAATATTTAAAATATAATTTTTTGCACCTTACAGCACATTCTCACATTAAAAAAAAAAATTATGAAATTTAATTTTTTGTTACTTAACCGATATGCACATTTTAATTGTTTTATTAAAAAAAAATATTTATTACTAATTTTTTTTCTTTTTTTTTGAAACTATCGCTTATCTGTATTTGTTTTTTTAATTATTTTATTGTTAACAATTGTTAATTATTACTATAACTTTTTAAAAGATTTAATTTATAAAAGAAGAAATTGTTTTCTACTTTTTTGTTGCATGAAAAAGTGCAGCAAAAAATGTGTTTTTTAGTTGATTTTTTAAATGCTCGTGAGATCGTTTTTCTAATAAAAATATTTTATATTCAATTTTTCCACAATTTTTTACAGTAGTAATTATAATTTTTTTCTCAATTCAACGCCAACTTTTCATTATGAGTCACACATATAATTGCACATATTTTAAAATTGAAATTTTTTTTATTAGATCTTTTATTTTTTATTTATTTAAATTATTTATTAAAGCTATAATCTTAAAAATAAAAAAAAAATCCAGCGCAAATATGTGAAAATAGGTCTATTATCTCTTACCCAAGAAAAAAAATCGAGTTAATTTGGAAAAATAAAAAACCTAATATACAAATATAAATATAAATTTACAAAAATTTTAGTAGTACCATTAAGCTACTTTGGAAGACAAAAGTTATATGAGTACATATAAACATATTGCTAGAAATATTAATATAAAAAAGCTAAGCCGTTTTGGAGGACATTTTTCATGTTTACGAAGAGTAAATAAATACTTTTCATGTGAATTCACTAAACATCAACGAAAACACAATTTTGGAAGACAAAACTGTACACGTGACCCAATCAGTTAAAACATACATACATATATATAAATATATATTGTATTTATATAAAGAAAAAAAAATGGTTGAAGAAGTTTAAGTAAAAACAAAAAAAAAAAAAACAAAAAAAAAATACATAAAAAGTAATAATAATAAATAATTTATAAATAAAAATGCAGATAATACGATAATATCTAATACAAAATTAATTATAATAAAAATTTAATAAAATAATTATTTCACTACGAGGTAAGCTAAATCAAAGAGACACCGCTTTCTTTCGTTTAAAGTATAAATTTTTTTTTTGTTTTAAAATTTTTGGTTGAAGTCTACGCTGTGAGTGACAATAACGGTAAATTCTTGTAACAAACTCACGATAGTGGCTCTCAGGGAGTGCACTGCGGTTTTTGGCAAGAATTTCCACAACGACATAGCGCAAAGTAAACTAAACATAAAACAATCTAAAAAATAAAAACTGAATATACAACAAGAAGTTTTATGAAGTATAAGGAGTTTAAAAAATATTCAAAATAATAAAGGATACATAAAAAACCAATAAATAAAATTTAATGATATGACAAACGAAACAAAATAAAATAAAATAAAGTTAATAAAAATGAAGTATAAATAAATTTAAATAAAATAAAAATATGATAAAAATTAATTTAAATAAAATAAAAGAAGACAAAGTAAAATAAAAAATATAATAAAATGTAAGAGATAAAACCAACAAAAAATAAAAAATTAATAAAATAAAATAAAACAGAATAAAGTACAACAAAAATGAGATAAAAATTAATTTAAACAAAACAAAAAAAATTAAAAACAAATTAACTAAAATAGAAAAAATATAAAAAATTAAATTAAATTAAATTAAAGTAAAATAAATTAAAATAAAATAATTTAAATTAAAAATTAATTTAAATAAAATAAAATAAGCTAAAATATAATAAAATATATTAGATAAAAGAACTAAAATAAAATAAATTTAAATAAAAAACAAAAATAAAATAAAATAATATAAATTAAAATAAATAAATAAAATAAAATAATTAAATTAAACGTTGATTTAAATAAGAAAAAATAAACCTAAAAGTAATAAAATTAATTAAAAAAAAAAAANATAAAATAAAATAAAATAAAATAAAATAAAATAAAATAAAATAAAATAAAATAAAATAAAATAAAATAAAATAAAATAAAATAAAATAAAATAAAATAAGTTAAAATAACGTAAAATAGAGAGAAAAAAATAAAATGAAATAAAATCAAATAAACTAAAATAGATTAGAATAGAAATTAAAAATATCCAAATACATATACATATAAATATAAATGTTAATCATGTCATTTAAAGTGCAAACTTAAATAACTGTATAAGCATGAATGTCATAAGTTTGTAAAAATGCCGAACCGAATAACTAAAAACACGCCATTTCAAATAAAAAATATATAATGAAATTACAAATAAATTACAATAAGTAAATATAAAATCTATTAAATTCACAAACATAAAATCGCACACCCACATACATTCTTCAACACATATTTATACATAAAAATATGTTTTCCTTCAAGTGTTTGTCCATCGTTATAAGGGAGCAAGTTTTCAGAGCACAGCCAAAGATATGCGAGCAACAATATCTTAATGTCGACTACATTTTTGGCATAACAAGAAAAAAAAGAAAAAAAAAGATACAAAAACAAATATAATAAATAATAAATAAATAATATGCACAGCACATTCGATGTAGAGCACATTTTTATTGCACTTCTAATGCACAGTTAGTGATGTAATACAGTATTTCCGTTTCGTATTGTCTTGAAATGCACCAAAAAAAAAAACAAATAATAACAAAAAATGCAAAAAAAAGTAATATATATATGCATATATACATATCTAAATAATTATATATATAGATATATATAAATAATATATAAATACCTAATTTTATTCCTTGTATTCTTGCCTGTTAAATTATTGTATGTATTTGTACTTGTTGTAATTGTATTATACTATTTATGTAATTATGTAATCTAGTTGTTAACTGCCATTCGATGACTTTGTTTTTCTCTCGAAAATTTAAAAACAAAAAAAAAAACACAAAAACAAATAACGGATTCGTTTAGTATGGAGAAAGTCAACTTTAATTATTATCTACTAGATAATTATTGAAACAAAAACAAATAACAAGAAAAATAAGCAAAATTACCTTCAATTAAATTACAAAAAGTAAAAGAAAATAGAAAAAAAAATAATTAAATAGAAAAAATGATGTTTTTTAGTATTCAAACTTTATATGTATGTAGCTGTTACATATAAGAGTATAAAAGTGCAGCACATACATACATAAGTTCAAATGAAATGTCCTTTTTGTGACTACACAACACAAACAAACACACACAACTACATATGGAGTACCAAAAATAAAAAACAAAAACAAAAATAATAAATAAAAAAAATATATATTTGTTCGCTTATTTATATACACCATTATATGCATACGAAATATACACACATATATGTGTTAGTATGTATTTGTTATGGCAACTCCGAAATAATAATATAATGCAAATATTTAATGAAATTCATAAACAATAAAAAATATATAGTTGAATGTTGTGAAGTCAAATTGTAGATGACTTTTTATTGCCTTCGAGACGCAACGATTCGGTTTGTGATCATCCAGTTTTTGAAAAATTTTCCAACTCGTGCAAGACTTGAAGCCGAACGACTATCAAACACGCCGCACGTTCGTGAATGCGCTCAAAATGTGGCGGTGGCCAAGATTCCTATTTTTATCTGAAAATTTTGTTGAGCGAAGAAGCTTACTTTTGGTTGAATTTCGGGTTAATAAAAAAAAATTGTCATAGACCGTCATTGGTCTATATTCTCTCGAAATTGAGGCCGGCCATAATGCTACAGTCAATAGGACTTTCTAGGGAGCGTTGATTAATGACTTTTTCGTGTCTGAATTGAGGAACTTTGGTGCCAACGAGACGGTGCTATATGTCGTACAGCCAACGAAACAATCAATTTATTGAAAGGAACTTTTTTTGAGCACATGATCTCATCTCGTGGATCTATGGTGTGATCTCCAAGAGAGTGTGGATTAATACCACTGAACCTTTTTTTGTGGGGTTGCGGTGTGTTATTGGTGACGTATGGCCCGAATCGCTCTGAAAAGTGGTAGAAAATTGTGCTTCTCGGCTGGAATTCATTGGAATCAGTCGTAAGGGCAACCACTTATCTTTATACCAAAGCCGAATTCTTGGCAATAACATTAAAATGAATACGTTTTAGTTTCTCTTGAAAGCCATATATTTAAAAACAACACTCCTTCTTTCTTATATAGCTCACCGTTCCATATTCTGTGGTATCTTTCGCTAAATATTTTTAAAGAAAAGTTCTAAGGTCGACTTAATGTATGTTTTACCAAGAGTATGATGGACGAGCATGGTCGTCGTTATTTTCGGTTGCCTACCACTGATCAAGCACACATTGGCAAAAGGAATTCTACGTTGGATTACAATGCTGATTTTGTTGTGGTTCTATGTTATAACTCTCAACATGGAAGCGGGAGGAGTCGAACTCAAAGGCGCTGGTGATGGATCAACAATATTCTTAAAAAATCCTCGCAGTCCTTTCTCAATTTACTACCATTAAACTGGTTGACCGCTCAAGTCTCACTTAGACGATACTACGTTCGTAGCGTTAACAGTATCAACGCCCAAGCAATCCTGCAACACTCTTTATTGTATCTCTAGTTTGAAGCATATTGCTGTTAATTAAGGGACAGCGACGCCAAAAGGCAACGGCGCATCAATATTCCTATTAGTAGCCTGTGCAGCCGCTAGTAAAAGTCCATTTCGCCTGACGAAGTATGATTATCTCCTGTGCCTAATTCACTGCCCTGAGTGGACGACCTGTTCAGATAGGATCATCAACTATCTCATTACCTTCGATGTCTATTTAATCTGGCGTCCAGTAAATACGAATCTTTCTTCCATTAGACAGTCTTTTAATCGCCTCTTTATATATTGCAGCCATAGCCACCGGCCTAAAAGATCTAAAAAAATGTGTATTCTCTCCATTTAAAGGACTGTATTCTGATGCAGTGCTGTCAGTATTTTTATAGCAGAGGAATGTACTGCAATAGTTCGGAAGCTTAAATGACCTTCTTATCTATCTTTTGTTGGGAGCAGTAAACTAAAGCCACCCCTTCGTCGTTCATTTTAGAATCATAGGTAAAAATATGCAGCGCTTTGTCTGCAAACTTGAGACCTTTCCTCAAGCCATTCGCTCTACTGTAGCAAGTAGCAGCTTACCAAAAGTCAGGTACAGGATTCGTTGTCTAGTCGCAGACTTGGGCATAACATTATACTACTGGATTACCAAGCTTGCTGGAGGCATGCTCAGAACCACAAAATGCCCAAATTTACTCTTTCAAACGTATGACGCTCAGATAATCTTCTTTATCTACCATCTAACCTTCCGCAAAAAACCACCGAATGCACAACACGACGATAATCAAAGGACACAGTCAATATTACTCACATTTTTAATTGCCGGCCGCAATGACAGAGTGATTAGGAATGCGTACTGACATTCGCAAATCCAGGGTTCGAGTACAGGTCTAACCAAATATCCAAAAGTATGTAAAAATAATTGCGGTAGCTCCTGGCGCAGATACCGCTTACGCGATTTCGTTTCTTCTTTTAGCTGTTTGGCACCTATTCGAAATACCAAGTACAGCCAGGTCCTTCTCTACCTGTTCTTTCCAACGGAGTGGAGATCTTCCTCTTTCTCTGCTTCCACCGGCGGGTACTGCATGGAAAACATTCAAAGCTGGAGTATTCGCATCCATCCGGACCACATGACCTATCCAGCGTAGCGGCTGTTTCTTGATTCGCTCAACTATATCAATGTCGCCGTGTAACTCGTACAGCTCATCGTTCCATCGTTTGCGATATTCGCCGTTGCCAATGCGTAAAGGACCATAAATCTTACGTAAAACCTTGCTCTCGAAAACTCCTAACGCTGACTCATCAAATGTTGTCATCATCCATGCTTCCGCACCATATAGCAGGTTTGGAATGATGAGGGATTTTTATAGTTTGGTTTTCGTTCGTCGGGAGAGGACTTTACTTTTCTGCATAGACGAAATTATCTACGATTTCAAAATTATGACTGTCAACAGTGACATGGGAGCCAAGTTGCAAATGCGGGAAATAAAAGCTCCTCATGAAAAAAAAACCTTTCTCCGTTACTCTTAGGGGGATGAGCTCGGTAAAAAAGCTTCAGAGGTTACAAAGTCCCAACTATTTCTACTGGATCGACTTTAAGTGTTTTTTTTTTTTTCATTTGAGTTGGAAGACGCCATTCCGAAACCTAATGATTGGTTATATATAATATAAATACAACTCATAAATTCATGAGTCATCACCGGCTGCAACACGTCAACTTTGTGTTGGGTCATTCAAGCATTTCTTCAGCGACCACCAAGTGGTTGAATCTTTCGTTTGAAATGAGAAGAATTAATCGTGGGAAACAGAAAGTTTATTGCACTTGAAGACCGTTGATGGCCGACCAAGGCCACTATATCTCGATCGCTGTTTAATTCACTGTTCGGCTTGTATTATAGATCGATTTAGCTAGAGCTTTCTGTAACACTTTCAACGATTCAGTGTAGGAAATACCCCCTACAAACTTGAGCATTGAACACGCTGTATGGCAATGAAGGATTTGTAGGCTTTTCAAATGATCAATTTTCCCCGTACTTTTTTGACAGAATGTATTTTTGTATCGAACGAGATTTTAACACAAGGCATATATTCTCGGTCATCCTCAACGTTTTAAAAATTCTAAAAAAAAATATTATCGCCGTTTTGTGACTCAACAGGTTTTTTTCTCTCAAGGAAAGTTAAAAAAATACATAAACAAATTAAATTTGTTTGCAAAATATGCATCTAATTAGAAATAAACCAGTTTGATCGTTGGCTTAACAGCCCATCTGGCACACCGTTACCTAATGATAGCAACAAAAAACAAACAACAACCAGCACGCATGCGGGGTGGAATTGATTCCGGGGATTGAAGTGGGAAGCAAGGCGCTTGTGCAGTCAAAAGAATAAAGAAATATGTCGAGAAGCGGGGGAGTAAAGAGCTGGAGAAACTGGCCGACAAGGGTAATGCTCCAAATTTTACGAAAATATGCCACGACTTAAAGAAGGTTTAAGACCAGAGCAAACTCTGAAAGAAAATTAAGCTAAATTTTCTTATTACGGTCGCCCCCCGGCAGGGAAAATCAACCCCTCCGGGTGTATTTCTGACACGAAACAAAGCTCCTCATAAAAAAACCACCAGCCGTTCGGAGGCGTCTCAGTATAAAATGTAGGTCGCTCTATTTGTTGGAAAAACCTCAAGACGCAAAACCACAAATTGGAAGAGCAGCTCGACTCGGCCTAACCACTTCAGCTGTTACAAAGCGCCAATTATCTATCTATCTAAACTCTTATAGAACCCCGAGTGACTGATGCCCAGAGTATAATGAATTTATGGAGGGCACACATGATAAGTGCGGTGTCTAGTCCACAAAATGGCGAATCCCACACTCTGCGCCACCGTCAACAAATTGATTCCAACTTAGCAATGTAGCTTTAGATCTTGGAAATCTGTTACGGACCAGACATTATCCATGCGTCCAATCTTGGAAAACCCCTTAGAAAAGGATATCTCCTCTATAAAAGTGTTCAACTGCTCGCGTACGCCGAAGATACTGATATCATTAGAGTCAACAACCGCGCCGTGAGTTCTGCTCTATAGGTCTGGTAGTGAATGAAGTCAAGACGAAATCGCAATTTGCTTATCATTTCCGTCATACCTCTGCACCATAGACATGGACAATGACAATATCTGATGGGTCGACGTTAGGAGTTCCAGAGTGAAAGGTTTTTGGGTAAGATTTATTTTCCTGTATAATTTAGTAGCCGAAGAAACGATGAAAAGAACAGGCGGAGAGGAATCTGGCTCTACTTAGTTGTTGTTATTTTCGTAGCGGCTTTCCCAGCCTCTCTTATAAACAGGCTAATTAAACTAATTCACCCAGTTGATCTAACGGGAGATCCAAGAAACGAGCTGTTTCGAAGATGATGGTTAGTGACGTGTGGAGATTCGTTACATGCTGAACATGCTTTATGTATGTCGGTTCGGGTCTGGATAGGTAGGAGTTGCGCCAGTATTACGCGGGACTCCCGTAGCAGCTCGAGCTCTTCATCGCTATGGGTTGTGCTTTGACTCCGAGGACGCCATTCACAGGAAGAGAGTTTTTGAAGATGTTGATTGTTTAGAACCTGTCTGTTCGCCATACTGTCCAACGGTTGTAGCACATGTTGCTGGATTGTGTGCTCTAGTTCTCTCTACCGTAGCATACCAGCAGAAAAGGTTTCCTGCCGCGGTCCCAAGGGGTATTTTGGTTCTACTTGGTACTTCCTATTGGCGCCAAGCAGTGAAAATAGGTCATGAATGACGCGCTGACTCGGTCATAATCACATAAGCGGTGTCTACGCCAGTAGAGAAGAAGAAGAATATTGAAGCGCAGTATTCTTCAAAGATAGAAATACTTTTATACTTACATATAATCGATCAATAATGTTCGTTCAGATTCTCAAAAAGCCACTTGTTGTGAGAGAAGTTTTTTATGTTCATGAAATGAGAGGAAGGGGGGGGGGGGGGGGTAACTCATGAGAGCGATCTTTTATAACAAACCTAATGATTAAATCCGTAAGAAATCCACGAAAGCTCACTCTTATCTTTTAATGTTTTAAGCTCAGTAGCACGTAAAGAACGATACGGATCTTGCGCTGGGTACAAAACGTTCTACTTTAACCAACTCTTTTTTATCTCTGATATCAAATGTATATTTAAGACACAATTTTTAAGCTCACGCTATAAATTCGAAAGCATGGTGGGAGAAATTTGAAAGAAATTAAACGTCAAATATCTTCAAAAGACGAATTTTTTATCAGTTATAAGATGGAAAGAAGCATAATCAGAAAAACAATTATGTTAGAGGCACGACTCACTACTCGTATACATTATCAGTTAAAGAAAGCACTGGAGCGTTAGAAGAGAGCTACCAAGCTGCAGAAGAGCGGCAAAGAAATTTAACGGCAAGAGCCACTGTCACGACATGAGAACGCAGCAGAGACAACAGTTTTAATTCTCAACTAGCTGGAATTTCAGTGGTTGAGTGTTAGTTGACGCTGAACTGGCGATCACGCAGGTTCTTTATTTCGTTCTGTCTACAGCTTTACTGCTACTCGCACTGAATTTCGCCGAGCACTTGAGTGAACAAGTGAAGTCTGTTAAAAAGTCTAGTAGTGAGTTTGGTGTGAATCAAGGCGGAACAATGACGAGTTTTGTAAATATACCAGAGGGAAGTGATTTCCCGCTTGAAAATCTACCATATGGTGTATTCTCAACAAAATCGAATGTAAGTATTTTTTTGAAATATTCGCTTTATTGGGTTTCAAGCTGGATGTAAGCAGTATTTGGCGTGAATATTGTGCAAAAAATAATTCTAATAAATTAAAAAAAAATCTGTCTTTTAAATTTAAATATTCCTATTTTTCTAGTTGAACTGGTTTCATATATATATATTTTTTTTTTCATAATAAGATTTTATGTAAAATCACTGGCATTTGATTTGCATAAAATTAGTGAGAAACTAGTTTGAGCCACCTGCGACAGCTAAGGCTGGCTTTGGTTGGGCTCTTTGTAGTCAGTTACTTTATCACTAAATGAGAACTTTTCTTCATATTTTTGTTTTATTTTTAAGCTCATTAACACAAATGTTAAACATTTTAATACTTAATTACAGCCCCGTAAGCGTGTCGGTGTCGCCATTGGTGAGCATGTGATCGATCTTGCCGGTGTAGCGCAATTGTATGCACCCGAAGTGCAGGTAAGATTCCAATAAGAGCACACAAATATCGACTTTCACACTACAAGCTCTCTCTTCCACCGCGTACTCTCTTGTAGGACGCACTTAATTCAGAATCTCTGAATTTATTGATGAGTCTTGGTCACTTCGCTTGGAATGTGGTGCGCACACGCACACGCGAGTTGTTGTTGAAGGGTTCGGTGCTCGAGGAAAATCAAGTTTTGGCACAGAAGTAAGTCATACACTTCTGTTCGCTTCGATTTTCTAGAAATTTATTTATTTTAAATTATTCTATTTCCCTCCTCACAGCGTACTCATACCACAAGCAGAGATTGAGCTGCATCTTCCTGCCCAAATTGGCGACTACACCGACTTCTACTCATCCATACATCATGCCACCAATGTGGGCATTATGTTCCGCGGCAAGGAGAACGCCTTGATGCCGAATTGGCGTTACCTGCCCGTGGGTTATCATGGTCGCGCTAGTTCAGTTGTGGTCTCTGGCACACCAATAAGACGTCCGTTCGGACAAACTTTGCCCGTAGATGGTCAGCCACCAGTTTTTGGTCCTTGTAAATTATTGGATTTCGAATTGGAGGTAGCCTTCTTTGTTGGCGGTCCGGGCAATCAGTTGGGTGAGCGTATTTCCGCAGAGGATGCTTGGCAGCATGTTTTTGGTTTTACACTCATGAATGATTGGAGTGCACGTGATATACAAAAGTGGGAATATGTGCCTTTGGGTCCTTTTACTTCTAAAAACTTGGGCACTACCATCTCGCCTTGGGTTGTGCCCGTTGCTGCGTTGGAGCCATTCGTAGTGGATAATTTCCCACAAGAACCGGCAGTGTTTCCCTATTTGAAACATGAGCGCCCCTTTAACTTTGATATCAAGCTGGAGATTTCACTTAAACGTAAGTTTCTTGCATTCATTTTCACCTGTAACATCTAATACTTCTATTTTCCTTAAATACCACAGCCGAGGGTGGCCCTGAGTCGGTGATCAGCAAGTCTAACTACAAATATTTATATTGGACCGCTTTGCAGCAGATTGCTCATCACACTGTCACCGGTTGTAATGTGCGTCCGGGTGATTTAATGGCATCTGGTACGATAAGTGGTGAGACGGAGGACTCTTACGGTTCTATGTTGGAGCTCAGTTGGCGCGGTTCGAAGACAATCAATTTAGAGGGTGGCGCTACTAGGAAATTTTTACAGGATGGCGATGAGCTCATTATTCGTGGCCGTTGCGAACGTAATGGTGTGCGTATTGGTTTTGGTGACTGCGCCGGCAAAGTCCTGCCCGCTATACCCCTCTGAAGACTAGGCTATTCATGTATCAACGAAATATTTTTATGTAATCTCTTTTTAATATAAATAATTGTTTCCAATATTATTTATTTTAAAATTTGTGGTTGTTCTTTCACTTATAACTTAAATTGCGGGCTAAATGGATGTGCATAGTCTTTTTCTCTTACAAGCTTCCCTACCATGGGCTACTGAGATCAATTAGGAGTTAAGGGGCTACTCATCTTAGAATCATCACCGCCTAACTGTTGCCCACAGTTGTCAATGTCACCCCTATCAGATTAAGGTTCTTCCTTAACTGTTATTTTAAACTAGTTGAAGTCATGACTCTAGTGTACTTGCCTTGTTCAGCTCATCGTTCTCTCGCCGTCGCCGATTTGCAGACCACTATAAACCTTTGCCAAATCCTATATCTCGAAAACATTTAATGGATGATGATCAAAAGCTGTCAATGTCCATTTTCACTGCGAGTCCAATTAGCTTTGATTCCTTTTCCGCGCGTTTGTTGGAAATCCTTGGTATAGGTCAACATTGGTGCTCTCTTCTAGAAGATGGTACATCGTATGCTTTGCTTCTCTCTTCAGCTCTCAACATCAACTACTAGGCTATCTCTTGTTATTACCATTTTTCGGCGTAGAACGTTCTTTATGGTTACCCTTGCTTCACGGAGGTGGGTAATTCACAGTGCCATTGTTAGGGACTCGTAGAGTACGCACACTGAATATATGACTTTCGATTTTCACAACATGGCCGATACTTTCGAAAACCCGAGCAGCGACATCTTATCAATTAAGAGAGGACAAGTACCAGTCGCCTGCTCTCCAGTCATACTACTTACTGCACCTGTAGTGGCCCTCATCCTAATTGAACTCACCCATTCAGGCAGCTTTTCGCTTCCTTGTCAGGCTTGTGTTTGGATTTTGTATTGCCGGAACGGTTAATGGGTTTTTGATACGAAAATTTTCTTTCATGTCAAAAATGTAGTCTTTGAAGTTGAAATCCACAGCCGCCACCGGCCGGTCGACAATAATAAAGAATTTAATATTCTTTATTATATAATTGAAGTTTTGTAAGCGCTGAAGTGATTTTCGGCCGGGCTCCTCCTTCAATTTGTGGTCTTGCGTCTTGAAGCCGCCTCCGATGGAGATTTATGAGAAGCTTTAATTTCATATCAGAAATACACACGGATGGGCTGATATTCCTCGCCAAGGGGCGACCGCATATAGAAAAATTAAAACTTTTTTTTAATTTTTTTTTTGTTAGGCTATAATCACGTCAGCGGTGCACCTACACCAGTGAAGAAGAAGCAGAATTCGAACAACCAATTATCGTTGTCAAGAAAAGAATATAAAAATTATAGACAAAAAAAAAAACAACAAAAATATATGTCAAAAGTATCGTTTTTCGGGGGATAAATATTGTATACTAGATTATATATATATACCTGTTGTGAAAAGCCTCGTTATGCGCTTAAATTCTAATCTCGCTACCAGTAATACCGGTAGTGCGTCGTATTTAATAGCGAAAGCTTTTAAGCTCACTTTAAACTTGTTCTCCCAACTCAATAACAACAGGGTGCCCACAGTGGTTAAACTTTTATGAAATATCAAACACTCACACAACCATTAGTATCTGAGTCAATTTGAGTATATGCTTTTGTATCCGTGCGGTGCTTGCAGCGAGTGTACGACGTTTTGTTAAGAGCGAAAAGCATTTCATTGTGGAGAGCGAAATAACACAAAAAGTTTACTGCGTCCGCTCTCCACAACAAACTGCCCACCACACCGCACGTGCAGGCAACCCACGAACGCTTTGGCTATTTGCTTTTCAGCTAAAGTAACGAGCAGATTACGTTGGCTGTTCAACTCCAGCATGGAATCGCTGCTGCTGCAAAACAGTTGGAGACGAACAACGTCGACGAGCAGAAGTGAGCAAAATTGTGAAAAATTACTGGCGCAGGGTAGTAAATGTTGTGTCCGACAATAAGAGAAATAAATAAATATAAGAATATATAAATTAAAAATAAAAGAAAGAAAAGAAAATATACCAAAACTGGTGAAAAATTAAAGAAAGTGTCGCAAGCAACCAATGAAAACAGTGAAAAAATAGCACAAAAAGTTTTTGAAAAATCGAAAGAAAATTCGCATAAATCAATAGCAGATAAATACGACCAACCGACCAACCGACCGACACAGGAAAAACGCAGCAAATTTGTATGCAAAACACAAAACGCGAAGCAATAAATAAGCAAATAAAACATAAAAAGTGAGTGCAGATGTGAAATACATATTGAATTATTTCGCAAGTGTCGATTCTTTGTAAATGATTAGCATTGTTTAAATATTGAAATGAGCTTGTGCTTGCACAAAGAAAAACTTCTTTCGCGTAAATTGTAAATTTTTTTTGTTTCTGGAGGCGCTTGGGAAAAATCAATTCTTTCCTACTTCATTCGTTAGCCGATGAGGTCGGCAGTATTGCAGTTGGCGCCGACGCAGCTTTTGCCACTACTCAGCTGTCACCATCAACAATCATAAAAGCCTGTCTTCCTGTATTGCAAGCCAACCACCGGCGAATGACTCGACGACGGGCAACAAATCCACCGACCAACTTGCAAGCCAACCACCCACCCAAACATTTTTTGCGGTATTTAGTTAGCACTTTTTTCACATTTCACAACGTTGCTCACGTTCTGCTGTGCAAGTGCACATACACGCGAGCTAGTAAATATATATACATACATATGTAAGTTAAACAGCAGCAATTGTAATACGACGGATTAGATATAAAACAAAACTATGTAGTGCAAAAATATCACCCCACCGACCGCCTGCAGCAGTGAAGGCAGTGACGGGGTTTGCAATTGTGCTTCCGCTCGCACCACTCTCTCTCTCTCTCCCTCTCTCTCCGACCCTCCCTCTCTGTGTCCACAACTCTGCACAGCGTTGCACTGTCAAGTGTGTGGTGGTCGTTGCGCGATACTTGAGACAAAGTCTGTCACCACTGAACTCTTGACATGACTGACAAAGTGACTGACGGAATGAGGTGTGTAACACATGAAGTAGAACACATGGGATTGTTTTGTGGCGACGTTTGGGGGCATAGACAATACTTGTGCAGCAAAGAAAAGCGAAATAAAATGGAAATGTAAAAATAATTCAAGCGCTCGTTGTATAGATGCACCCCACAGTACGGTATTTTCATTTTATGTGAATGCAATTCTGTGCTCGCCAAAGTAGACGGAGAGATAAACAAGAGTGAGACATGTCTTTTTTATGCTGAAGCGTTTAAAGTTAGCCCGATTTTGTTTGTTTAAGTAGTGCTCTTAAGAATGTACTTATAGCAGCTGGAATTGGGCAAAGTATTGTTTAAGAAATTGCGGAAACCATATAAGGTGACTTCGTGAATATGAAGAAGTTATAGATTGCCCGAAACACCGTCTTGGAAATACTAATATCACCTGTGGTACGCCTTTACTGCCAGACATATACTCGTAGACTAGTAGTTCAGCTAAAATACTGCCGTATCTCCGGATACTTCGTGAAGTTGCAAACACATTAAGAAGGACGATTGCACATTACTGCATAACCTCAATTTACCAATACTAAGTGGAATACCATATAAGCCTTAAATTCCATTCATGGATATAAAAACTTTACTCAGGTATCTTATCGTCAAAGGCTTTATTGGAACCTTGCGCCCAGCAATTGTAGATTAAAAACTCAGGCTATCTCAAAAATCTATAAAATCGCCTGATGCCAATGCCTGTAAACATCCACGGTTTGGTGAGCATATACGATCCGGTATTTTTCATACTCGGACCCGTAAACGCAGCGCATTGTATAAGAAAGTGAATAGTTGATTCCATCTCTTCTGATAAACAAACACGACAGAGAATGCCAAGTCTTACCGCTTGAATTCCAAGCGAATAATATCCGGTTAACACACCTACTAAGTGTGGTAGCTTCAGTCTTGTGATAGTAAAAAGGTTTACTGAACTGTGAGAGTTCACTTTTGGCCAGAAGCATCTTGCAACCGCACATGCTGAGGTGTTATCCTAGCGCTTGCAGAGCTTGTTTAATGCCCATCTGTTCAAAAGCAGGCAGCGGAGTGCCGATTTTTGCTTATTAACGAACCAAAGGTAATGAGATGTGCAAGCTGTTGACCTAAACGGGGTTAGGTCGCCGAAAGGGTGACAGCCCTTGGCCAGATAAAATCCGTACCGAACCGGCTATCGTGAGAGTCGTAGCAGGTTAAACTCCTACTTACCACACCAACTCATCTAACCCCCCTCTCCCTTTGGTCCAACCCCGTCGAAACAGCTCGTTTCCTGGGCCTACCTTTAGATGACCTCGGCGACTTCGACTGACCAAACCTGTGCGTAAGCGGCTAGTGAACCGCTACAACAACAACAACGACAACAACAACAACAGATGTGCAAGCTCATAAGCATAGCAGTTCCCAACAATTTTGAAATGCGTCGACGTTATGGAGGGGGTTGATAAACATTCCTTCAAATTTTTGGAGTTTACCACTAGTACACTCCTAGGCTGAAATATCTGATGGGCTATCCAGATTGTCTCAAAGAAACCACACTTCAAAGTGGTATGTCTATCATCATCTGCCGCTACTTTCGACTGAAATACGCAGCAATGGACTTTAAAACTAAACCATGCGCCATTCGACAAAAGACTGCCGGACTAATGTGGCTTAGATTAAACTTTAAGCTTCCTTTTTTGAATGATACCAACCGCTAGATGACATCAACCAGCCTTACTTCCTACCCACTTAACGAGGTTACCAAACCGCTATAACAACAATAATGCCATGAAGCCCCCTTAACTATTTCCTGACTTTCATATTGTCGTGACTCACTTAGGGTGTTGAAAAAGAGCTTCAAAATTGACTATTCTATAAACGTGATTTGCTTTTTTAAGCGAAGCTAAAACCATCTAAAATCCAACAGGAAAACAAATTTAGAATATTAACTCTTTGGGAAGAGGCAATCAAGTTAAGAAGCTCACTTTCAATTCAAGCAATTCGAGGGAAGAATGACACAAGTTAGTCAACCGAAGACGCGCGCAACTTGTATTGCAATGTCAGATCTGTGATGATCTCGAAATAAATTGAAAAGTTAACTCCATTTGTAAACAAACAGGTTGAGATTTTCATCCTCTCTCATGGGAATACTGCAATAATCCTAAAGTAAATTTAGAATCTTAACTCTTTGTTCGCAGCAAAATGAGCTCACATCTATAGCTTCTCTCGTTGGAAAGGAGAAACAATGCAGCAGAAACCTCGACATCATATTAATTTTTTATCATGAGCAGCTTTTTTTTTGCAAAAAACTGGAGAACCCTTCTACGCCTTTCATTCAGTAAATCTCTGTTTATGGCACTCTCGCGTGCAGCAAAAAACATTTCTTCTTCGAAAATAAGTATGCAAAAAAAGACTCGCCGATCTCCACACCCAAAGGGGGGCACATAGTATCGCTCCAAAAACTATTGCATTTCCTAAAAAATTGGCGAAGAATTAAGTGGATGTTTTTTTTTTGTTTGATCAAAAAGCTTCGACAACAAGCGCCACTGTCTCCACCGCAGCGCAGCACTGCCTTATTTGCTCGTTATTACGAATGAAATTTTTTAACCAGCGAAGTAGACAAGAGAGATAAACAAAAATGCGACATATCACTGGGTATTTTTTTTTGTTGAATTTTTAATTTTTTATTGCATCGTGTGTAGAATTAAGCAACACAAAGTAAACCAACGAACTAACGACAAAGCCAATTCAGCGACGGCGCCAGAACAAAAGCTCTACTCGGGCATGTATAGGATAGGCTGACTGATGGCGTACATACATATGTACATATACATATATGTGCAGTGGGCATTTACTAACCAGTTTTTAAATACGAATTTTGCAATTTTTTAATTCCTTGCTTTTCGGTTCAACTTGTAATTATATACTCGCATATGCAGTTGCGTAGACATTTATTTACATACAAATGTTTGTAAATACATGTACATATGTCGGTGAATTGCAACTCGCTGCTACTCATTGCTACTCACTATGATTTGGTTTTTGTTTTCTGCTTGCTCCGTACTCAACTAATCAACCACCCCACGGACAGTACTTGCCACAATTGGCGCGGTCGCACTATCTACGAGTTCTGTCTACACAAGAAAAAAAATCAACGAGTTTGTTTTTACATTCGGCAAAGCGAAAAAGAGGGCGATTAAAGGCAATCATAATAAAAGAAATACGTAAATTTTAGCGAAAAATGTAAATAATTCTAAGGGTAAATGAAAAATTAAAAAAAAAAATTAAATAAAAGAAGAGTACAAACCATAACATGATAAGAGATCATGAAAAAAAAACAAATTGTTGTGAAATTTTATGTGCAGACAGAGTAGCGAGATAAATGAAAAAAAAGTGCTGAAAAATATTTGTAAACAAAGAAAGCTGTTTTTTATTTTCTTCAAATTGAATTGCGTATTTCGGCTGATTTATTTGGCGAAATTTGCTAAACAATGAAGTGTTTACAAGGCGGCTTGTGTATTTAAATTGAATTCGGCAGTTTTTTAACCCCACGAAAAGCCAACTCGCCAACCAGTCAACGCTCCATAGCTGGGCGCCCAGCTGTGCCGGCATGCACAAGTTTTGTGGAAAATTTATTATTTGTGGTTTAATTGAGATTTAGCTATCACTTTTGAAATCAATGTAGATATGTAAATAAAAATTGATTATTATTAAAATAAAAAGAAAACAACAAATTCTAAATAAATGATAATAATTAATAATAATATATAATTGACGCTTTTTAGCAGCTGAAGCGATTTAACTTAACCTACTACAATGTGTATTATTGTATTCCTGTGTACATATATATGTATGTAAATATGCACTTATCAACAATTGGTGCCAAGAAATCGAAATAGAAATGCTTGAACTCATTGATAAGTTTGTAAATACACAAAAGCATGCACGCAATTGTTTATAACATACATATGTACATACATATATATGTACATAAAAGTAGAGATACATTTGTATACATATGTACACAGAAAGAAGCTTTGTTTCTTGTTAAAAACATTACCAAATGAATTTGTTTTGAAAGTATAATATTTATGTGTGTTCCTATGTAAATATATTTACGTGCAAAGATAAATATATATGTACATATGAAATCTATACATATTGTATATATAATATTACCTGTATGAGTATATACGCAAATTAATTTAATTTGTATATATATATGGGTAGCCGCGTGGTAAGCGTTAGAAGATCAGCGTTCAAATCCTGGTGCGACGTACATTCAAAAGTTAAAGAAAATTCATTTCAATAAAAAATTAAGTTTAATATCCAATTTCGGTCGCCTCTCGGCAGGGAAGGTCAAACCCTCCAAATGTGTATTTCTCTCATGAAATAAAAAAGCTCATCATAAAAAAACCATCAGCTGTTCGGAGGCGGCTTAGTATAAACTGTAGGTCCCACCATTTGTTGGAGAAACATTAAGACGCAAATCAACAAAATGGAGGAGAAGCTCGGCCGCAAATCGCTTCAGTTGTTATATATAATATGTTTGTATATGTAAACGTAAATACAAAAGAAGGAAATATAAGAAAAAAATATTAACAAAAAAAAATTTCGCGCGGTTCTGAAGATAAATATTCTCTGAAAATTATTATAGTGCTCAGCTAAGCAAAAAGGCGCCTATTCATTTAACCGATATCAAGTAAGTCGCACCATGAATAAAATTTCTTCGAATGGGCACTCCCTTGTCGACTCCTCGACAATTTTAATTTTTTTATTTTTACGTAGTAACCTTCTCAGAAATCGTAGAAGTAATCTGATTAAATTTCAATGCAATCGGTTTGTAAATTTGTAGATTTTTGAATATTACTGGATTTTTCCAAACGCACATAAGATTTTTAAATGAGAGAAATTGAGGTTAGATATTTTCACCAGCAAACGAAAACTGCTCGAATAAAAAAATCGTGAAGAAGAGAAAAAAAAATAAATTTAAAAAATAAAATTTATATATAACAAAAAAAAAAATTGCATGAAAATAGTTTTTTTTGGAATTAATCAAATTTACGACTTTTCGTCAGAAAAAACATATATGGTTTTGTTATCTCTTAACCTTTCCAGATCGATAACGAATAACCTCAGAAAATTTCATCAATATTCAATATTGTGGCCGTTCTCGAACCTTGGCGTCACTGACAAACAAACATTCTTTTTTATATATTAAAATCGACCGCCCTGGCCGAGTAGTTAGAAGTGCTTATTTTCATGTGGAAGATACGAGGCTCTAGTCCTGCTCTGTCCAACATCCAAAGTATGAGAAAGTTAGTTAATTTCCACCGTGTTTTCAACCCCTCCTACAGTGCAAATAGAATGGCGAATATTTTTCTAAAACTGATTTCTACATATATATATGTGCATGGAATTCCATCTCCCGCAATAAATTTCCAAAAAGTATTTAGTGTTGATACCATATTTTTCTCAATTCTTTGAGCACTCCAAAAAACGTTTTACATGATACCAACAGACGTACCACACATTGTTTCTGTGCTCTCTGTGCTTTGTCCAATTTTTATTATAATTGACATTGAAAGAACGCTCAAAGAAACCCTAAATCTTCGTTGTTCAAAGTCTTTCACGAATATATCAATATGAACGCCTGGAAGTCAGCCAAAAGCCCCATTCGGTTCTATGCTTATTCACACTCAAGTTTAACGCAAAGAGGTTTGTAGAGATGTATGGTTTTCAGAAAGCATTAAAATATATATGCTTTTATCTTAAGCTTTATTATAAAGGTGAAGGCTTGGCATTTTGTTTTAAAAAGACTTACGCGCAGGTGTTTGCATCGGCTGGCTCGAAAAACTTTCGCCGAGAAGCTCAATTATCTACCACGTTTTGCATCGATTTGGGGCCGTATGTCAGCAATAACGCACCGTATTTTCTCTTCTGAGGCGTCAACCGTCTCGGGCTTATCCGTAGAGATAAAATATTTCACATAACCTCAAAAAAAAAACACTAAAAATAATCTAGCGGTATTGAATCGTGCGAACTTGGAGGCTGAGCAACGCGCTCATGAAAATATTTCTTCAATAAATTTATTGTTTCGTTGGCCGAATGGCATATAGCGTCGGGATTGTTGAAACCAAAGGACTGCTATATCAACATCCATGGAGCACTCCAAACAAACAGTGTGCGTTTGGAGGATGTAACGGTTTCTTACCAATGGCTTATCATCACTCCGAAAGTGACAATTTTGTTTATACACGTACCCAATTAACCAAAAGTAGGCTCGAAGACTGAATAAAAATTTCATTTGAAAATCTGGATCAGTGGTCATATCATTTCGGACAATTGTTCGGCTTAAGCGAGTTGAATTTTGTAAATCCCCAAACAGATGGGCACAGCATGGATCTTCTTCGATACAGCAATAGCGTCTTCGGTGCGCATTGTACGTCGTTCTTGCAATTGCGCATTATTCACCCATTAAAGTAAACGTGGTCCGAAATCTATCCATGATTTTCGAATTACCACGATTCGCAAACGAGGCTCTGAAGATAATAAGTGTCAAAAAAACCTATAGAAAACCACAAGTCTAAGAAAACACTTTAAGTTCAAACCACTTGCTTGGGATCTACAAATAATCGTTTAGTATGGCGTTGTATGCCTTTAGTATTGGGAACCAGATAGAGGGGACCAGTTCGTATTCTCCACGACATTTTATGATCTACGGCGTTATAACGGTACAAAATCAAATATTTGTTAGTTCAGTCAGATTACGATGCAGTTTGTGATCAAAATTGTGGACAGTTTGCGTATTAATTCTGCGTCGCCCATCTCGTATTCAAATTATTGGCATGAGGACTCGAACCTATTACTCTTCTTAAGACCATTCCTACTGCACACTGCTCAATCATGGCTGCTTCTTATATATACATATGTATGTATATCGTTATCATTGGAACTGACCTCTACGTGATAGGTGCCAAGCTCGGCGCACAACCTCGCAAGTCGAATAGCTTTAAATTTTAGTCAAATTCATGTAGCCGGTCGATGGCCGGTCGTTACCGCATATGTCGCTGTGGCTCCATTGAAGCATCTTCTCTCCTCAAGACCCCACATGAATTAGTTACCGTATCTTGTACAAAGGTTGCTCACGTTGCGTCAAGCTGAGCGCAAGATTAGAAATTGGTTATAGTCCTACGACTTGAACTGCATATCCAGAAGCGGGACTGTACCCCATAACAACCTATCGTCGTTTATCTTGGGACTTGCCTAAACGACAACAACAATGTGAGCCAACATGTGCTACTTCGGTCGAACCAAAAACCTTCAGACATTTAACAGATGAGCTTTAAGAGTTATACGGAGTAATGGCTTTGAAAGTATTTGATGCAATTAAAAGATCAAGTGGGTATGTCCATTTAGCATCAAGGAACAAGAAAAAGAATCAAACCACTGACAATTTTACAACCGCTTAAGCGATGATCGGCTACGTTAGCCGAGTGGTAAGCAGTGCGTGCTACCGATCGGAAAGCTTGGAAAGCCAAGATCCGGTGCGAACAACATTCATTGCGGCCGTCTTTTGACTTAGAATGTCAAGCCCTCCGAGTGTGTTGCTGGCTGAAATAAAAAGATGCTCTTAAAAATCCATCGGCGATTCGGAGTCGGCTTGGAATAAACTATAGATCCCTCCATTTGTTGGAAAATATATCAAAACGCACATCAAGAATTGTAGAAGGAGATCTGTTGAAATTCCCAACAGCAGTTAAAGAAAGAATACGGGAACTCATTAACTCTTTGTAAAGTGCTGGACGACACTCCCTGATCTTGCATATTTCTTTTTTCGCAACGTTATGGTTTCTTGGTCACCAAGCCAATTATAAGAAACCTATATATCGGACTTTATAAAGAACTTAGTAACAATGTGTTTTTTTAATTTTTCTTGAAAAAAATTTGTTCCAACGGGACTCGCTCCGTAGATCTCTAATATCATACATAGAGGCTGTCAGTGCAGGTTGTCCTGGATTAGCTGGCACTCAACATCAACATGTCCAATGGGACGAGTTGGGTCTAATAAATATCCGTTTCGCTGAGGCAAAAATATCTGACCGGTTCGAAGCACTAACGTTCCTTGCCACTGGCAAAGCAAATGGTTGAACTTTTAACCCATAGGTCTACATTCTTGGTTCGATTGTGACATATTTTCATGCAACTTTGGAGCTAATCATTTACAGAATACATACTTGTTAGCATGAAGATTCCCTCCTAACTTCTTCTATATATTGATTCTTTTAGCAACACGAAAGATGTCAGCGAGACTTCGAAATTAAATCGGAAATACGATCTCAAGAGTAACCATAACAACAAGCCATAAAATATGTCGCCTTTCAGATGGGTCTGCTGTTTTGTGCTCTTCGCTTGTGCTCAGGCAATTGCGCGTAAGTTAGCAATGAAATATATTATATACCAACAAAGAGCTCTAACATTTTCATCCCACACACAGCTGAGCGTCCTTTTGCCTGTATGAGTTATATGGAAGATGAGAAATTTATAAACGATGATGATGACTTTGACGAATACTCATCGAATGGCGTACAGACACAATATAGCGCAGAAAACCTCAATACACCAGATGTAGAGGATGCACCACTTGAACCAGCGGTGCCACATAGACGTATCTGCCAAACGGATTATACATTTTGTTTCGCGCTCTGGCGTCAGCATCAGAATGGCACACGCATCGAGAAACAAGGTGAGTAGAGAGAAGGGGAGAAAGAGTGCACTGGAGTTTAATGTCAGATCTAATAACTCATATCTTGATATTTTCTTTGCGTAGGCTGCTGGAAGGAGAGCACTGAACGAAATGCCACCTGCAGTCAGACCGAGTGTACCAGCTCAGCGCCCACATCGCGCAACAATTCGCTCTACTATTGCTGCTGTTCTGGCGATTCGTGCAATAAGAATGTTGCTGTAGTTGAGCCAGCGCCATTACAGGTATATCTCTTGCTAAATATTCATAAGGTTTCTAGTAATGTAATTTACGTCTCTTCTTAGCTTTCCAAGCCCATTTACGGCGCTGATAAAAATGTTTCCATCCGATTTGCCGATGCCGGTTTGGGTATCGTTTTAACTGTGATTATCGTCTTGATCTTATGTTTGTCGGTTAGCGGTTTTGCTGCATACTGTTATGTACACAAGATAAAAGATAAAACCGTGCCAGAGGAGGCGCCGTTGGCACCGTCGGGTCCTGGTTATAGCTCGAATTTAAGAAATGTGGATAATATCAATTTGATTTGTATGCTTGGTAATGGCAAATATGGTACCGTTATGAAGGGTTTACTACATGACAAGGAGGTTGCTGTAAAGATCTTTCCCGATAGCCATTACCCATATTATATCAACGAACGGAATATTTACTCGCTGCCGATGATGGATAGCCCTTCGCTGCTGACGTATTTCGGTATGTAGGATCTCACTCTCTAATATCTACCTACATATGTATGAATGTAAGCTCAGCCAGTGTGAAGATACGAGGTGTAGGGCTCAATAGAATTTCTAAGAAGTGCTCAATACTAGACTGATAGTTAGTCGTTCATCCTTTAATGAGAAAACTTTTATTTTGTCACCAATGCACTTGGATGTACAAGCGTTTCCGGTCGAGGATCGACAGAAGTAAGAAAAATCTCTTTACAAGTTTGGTTGAACTGGTGACGCACTGCTATTCACTTGACTACTTCGGTGGTCACTCCGGGAGTTTCATTAAAATAGCATCTTCTTCAAAATAGACTTTGAAAATCGCTCAGAGAATGCTTCGCGGTGTGCTCGACCCTACCGATTGGCGTCTTCCAATCCCTGCTCTCTTAAGCGGCTGAGTCTAACAACTACACGGTCGCAGATGCGTTCCGGGAATCGAGTAAAAATACGTGGGTTTCGCCCCACTCTCCTACGAGCTATGTGCTCAATAATAAATTATTCATTCTCCCTTAGCCACTTAGAAGGATCAGCCCAACACTTTCCCACATGCTTAAACGCAACCGTTTATGATTTCTCCGATCAGAACTCTTAGTATTATTTCCACTTATTGCTACTCTTTTCCAGGTTACGACGAGCGTCACACGATGGATGGTAAAATTGAATATCAATTGGTGCTTTCGCTTGCGCCACTCGGCTGCTTGCAGGATTGGCTAATTGCCAACACAATGAACTTTGAGATCTTCTGCGGCATGGCGAAGTCCATAACACGTGGTCTCTCACATCTGCACACGGAAATCAGTCGTGGTGACGAGTATAAACCTTGTGTGGCACACCGTGACTTCAACTCGCGCAATGTGCTCGTCAAAGCCGATCGTACATGCTGTATAGCGGATTTTGGCTTCGCATTAAAGGTATTCGGTTCAAAGTATGAATATCGCGGCGAAGTTGCGGTCGCAGAAACGAAAAGTATCAACGAAGTAGGCACACTACGCTATATGGCGCCTGAACTCTTAGAAGGTGCCGTCAACTTACGCGATTGTGAGACTTCACTCAAGCAAATGGACGTTTATGCGCTCGGACTTGTTTTGTGGGAAGTGGCAACACGTTGCACGGACTTCTATCCACCCGCACAAATGACGCCAGCCTACAGAGCACCGTACGAACAAGAAGTCGGCACCCATCCCACCTTTGATCAAATGCAGGCATTGGTTGTGCGCCACAAAGCAAGACCGCTCTTCCCAGCCGGTTGGGGCGGCGGCGCGGCGGCTAAACTGCTGAAAGACACATGTGAAGATTGTTGGGATCACGATGCGGAGGCGCGCTTAACCTCACTATGCGCCGAGGAGCGTATGCAAGAAGCTGCAGGCTTGCGACCACGTTACTCACACACACAATCACCCAGTCCGTTGTTGAGCGCAAATAATTTACTCGACAACGATCAGGTGGATTCTGCGGTGCTCATTTCCATGGATGCGTGTCACTCGGAGACGGCAACAATGCTGCAGCCGCCGCCGAATCAAAAACTTTTACCACGTGTGCAGAGTATGGACAGCGAGTTGAGTGGTGTGCCAGCGCATACGGAGAAAAATCATCTCATTAATACACAACAACAACTACAGCCATATCAGGGACGCAATCCATGTCAAGAGCGCAATCTAGCGCCAGTGGCCACACGTCCACCGCAGATATTGGTGGAGAAAAGTAAAAAGCACAGCTTCCAGACGGGGCAGGAGAACAGTTTCTCATGCCTCGAAGACGACGTGTCCGTAGAAGATCTCATCTCAGGCGGCAGCACGAAGAAGATAAGCAATTTCATGACAGACAACACATCCAGCATGGGTGAGGGTTTCCCAAAGCAACACAATACCGATCGCAAGCTCAGAGGTTGGCACGGTGTACGCGCGTTAATACAAAAGAAGCTATTTCGTAAGAGTGACGTGAGCGCTGATGTCTACCAACAGCAATTCGGTTATAGCGATGAAAAGTCGAACTTGGTCGACAATCGCTATGCGGCGGTTGTTAAAGGACTCGACAATAATGGTAGCGAAAGACTCGCTAAAGCGGCGACGGTGAGCTACATCGATGATCGGCAACGTAGCAACAACGGCGTAGCTGCAACCAAAACAACAATGCTCACAGACGTCTATCCGCATACAAGGCGACCAAATAATCTCGACCTAAGTCCTATGAATGGCACAACGGTGGTGCTGGGCGAGACCGGTACGCCGCTCAATATCACAGCCTACAATAAATCCAACTTAATACAACGCAGCATAGCGGAGGAGTGCAATAGCGACACGGCGTTGCCCAAAGTGCGTCTACAGCAACTGGACACACGTACGAGTACACCCTGTCACGTTGTGCCGCGTTCACTATCGACGAGTCTGATCAAGCATATGAACCGTAATAATAATAATTTAACTAAAAGTGAGTTGAACGCTTCGCACATAGCGAAGTGTCCAAAAGCGGTGCCGTCGAATGCGCCTCAAACGCCAGCAACGCCAACTGTGCAGACCGCCGGCCGTCTGACTGCGCCCAATCATGCCGATATACTCTTCCGACGGCAGCGTAGTCTCGAGATGTTTCGTGAAGTGTTTAGTGGACGTGGCAGTACCGACAAATTGCGTGATCCTAGTCAACGTGTGAAAACCCCCGGCGATGTGCCGCCGTCAGTGAGAAAAGTGCGTGCCTCGAAAACCCTCAGTCTCTACGACGATCGCATGATGGACTCGTCCACTTTGAATATACTCTAGCATGAGGAAGTTCTGTTGCTGGAATTGTAAGCAGCACCTTGAGTGGCTTATAATTGCGGTCAACAGAACGGTTTTGTATGAGAGAAAGAACTGGAAAAAAATTTGAGTGGAAAAGCGAAATAATACTCGTGGACTCGGCGGAACTGTGTAAAAATGAGAGAACCGTGTGAGCTAGAAAAGGTTAAAGTGGCAATATGAAGGGATCGTTGCGTCAACCTAATATTTCGTACTCGTATATCCTTATATATATATATATATATATATATATATATGTGTAGGTATGTATAGTTATATGTAAGACCCCGCTGTGTTGCTAGTAACTGTAGTTTAAGCACTGATATACTACATGAACTCATTTATACATACATATATGTATATATGTATGTTTATGTATAATATATATAGTATATAGTATATAAAATATGTATGTATGTATTGTATGTACGAAAAAAAACAACCAAAGTCCTTATAGCGTAATTTTTGAATGTGTGTTTTTGTACGAAATTCATCGAACTCTAGAGAGTTCTCTTCGTCTCTATAAGTCTATATATATATATATATATGTAATCGTAAATGTATATATATTATATTATAGTGTAGTATATATGTACGTGTGTATGTAGATATAAGCGCAGCTATAAACTGCTAACGGTAAAAAAGGAATCACAGTTCAACAGTGTCAGCCATTGTTTGTAATTACAAGTGAAAATATTTATGTATGTTTGTATGTAGAGTAAGTAAATATATAAAAATTTATTTTTTAAAACAACTTATTGGTAGGAAATTAAGACAACTACGGTACATCTCTAGGGAATTTTCATAGCCGCTATGGTGGTATAGTATATCGTATGTATATGTATGTATATGCATATAAATACATACAAACATTTTTGTGAAATTCAAAACAGGTCGACTTATTATTCCAATTTTTATTTACACAACTGTATTTAATTAATGATTTATAATTAAAAGAAAAAATGTTATTTTGTATAACAGTTATCGCTAACAGATGGAAGCAGTATGAATAAAAAAATAAGAAAATAATAGAAATATCTCCGCAGGGAAAAGGTAGACTAATCTGCAAACATTCTGAATAAATACTAGTACCAGAACTAGTATTTAAAGGACAAAAAGATACTAGTTTCTCCTTGACTAGAATTTTACTAGTATTTACGGGACAAAAATATACTAGTTTCTCTTTGACTAGAATTTTACTAGTATTTACGGGACAAAAATATACTAGTTTCTCTATGACTAGAATTATACCAGTTTTTTCGGTAAAATCTGAACTAGTTTGCCAAAAATTTTGTTATATATGAATTTTTTTATTTTGAGGACGAATTCATAATAGTTGGTCGTTTTGCCAAAAAAAAAAAAAAAAAAACAGAACTAAGACCGAACACATATATTTAGACTTACCGCTAAAACGACAACAACCAAATATTATTGCGGTTACTATAATTTTTTTTCTATTACAAAAAAGTGATGAACAGTCCCAGTTAAGGGGTAAAGCCACTCAAGAGGTTGAAAAATAGACTTATTTTTTTAAATTTATTGTAGGAATATAGGAGAATGAATAAAATTTCTATTCAGTCATTTCATGGAACATATATTGAACTATAAAAAAATATTCTTTAATTATTATTTTGTTACAAAATAGCGGCGATAAATTCCATTATATAATCCATGTTATTTTTTTTTGAAAAGCGTCCACGGGAGGACCGATGTCTTCTTGAGAAATGAGCCCTAGAACAGAAAAGCAAAAGTTTTTAAGATCTACTAACTACGGTCTTTGGAAATGCGTACGGTTTTATTTTTTAACTAATTTTTGTAAGTTTGAAAATTCATTTTTAACTAAAATATACGCACTAAATTATTGAAAACAAGTACATTGACTCGAAAAAACGGCTACATACTTCCAAAGAAAAAAAGTATTTGTGAAGCTACCAACAAAATTTCGGTTAAATCTATGCAATAGGGTCCGAATAATCTGACCTCCCAGTTATTGTAATGTAATTAAACAAAATGGCGTTTAAAGCATTCATTAAGGGGCTACCGCAAAAAAAAAGTTCAGATATTTGAAATTTTTTTTCACTTTAAAACCAATAGCATATCATTTCTAGGAGCCAAAGGTACTCTGTGAGCAAAAAAAAAATATGCGTTTATCAAAATCCTAGAGTGGCTTTACCCCTTAAGCTTCAAATATATAAATATTTTTTTTACTTTTTTTATTTTTACTATTACGATGCAGACTGGTCTGAGGCGAACTAGTTTTTAACTGCTATGAACGAAATAGTATTTCGAACTGATATTTAACTAGTAAAAAGCCGATGCATAACTAACAATTGACAGTACGTAGCAGATCGCCGTGTTAAAAAACAACAACGGCTTTCAAGGAAAATAGAAGGAAGAAGAACTATTGTAGTTGGCGTAAAAATTTCAACTAGTCGGCTTCTAGTTAACAACTAGTACTTTTCCCTGCTGGTATTAGTATGATAGTATGCCACCACCTCATCATTTAGAAACACACATGCACACATACAAACATAAGTTTATCTTCAATTCTCATTTAGTTAATAATTTACAACACACCCTAATATTACATATGCACTTCAACTTGAACTATTATTGGGTTCATATTAAAGTCAAAAGAATTTTCAAATGCCTTGTATTTAATTAAATAAATATAAAAAAAAAAACAAAATATTGTCTTATTAATAAAATTAAATTTAATTAAATAAATAAATTAAACAAAAAAATATTTAATTGAAATTAAAAGAAAGCAAAAATATATTTAGACACATCACATTGTAATGAAATATTTTAGTAATGATATTAAGATAAAAACAAAAAAAAAAAAACAAAAAAACTGTATTTCAATAATTAATTTAGAAACTTATTAATTAAAATAAAAAAATATATAAACGAAATTTTGCGTTAGAAAGTTTGAAAGCGAAAAAGTCAAAAGCAAAAGCAACAAAAAACGAAATTAATTTTATATTCATTATCAAGTTCAGCCAAAAACTGACAAACACATACACTTATATACATACCATTAGCAGAGTTATACACAAACACATATATACATATACTTAAGTTGTGCTAATAATTAAGTATATATGTACGTAGATACAATACTGTTTGTATTCAATTAAAGAAATTCCATATATTCCATATATATATATCAGTATATATATATATATATCAGTATATATATATATATATGTATTAAAGAAAATATATAAAATAGTAATTATTGTAAAAATTAGTTTTTATTGGCAGGAATTTATCGATTATTAGCAAACCCAGTATTACATTGCAGTGGCTCTCTGTATTTTGCGCAATTTTTATACTAAATGATATAGCAAAGAACGAAAAAGAAACTAATTAAGCATCAACGAATTCAAAATATTGCGTTCATTTTATATATTATTCTTTTAACTAGACCATCGGTATTTCAACATTGAGGAGCTCTGATTTTTCTCCGCCGATTTTGACAAATGGGCAAGATTTATTTAGGATGTACTTTGCCTTTTATTGGGAATCAGCGAACGAACGAACACAACGTCGGTTAGGTGACCACCCTCTGTTACAGTTAAATCTAGCGAGCGCGGCGGCCACTCCAAATCACTACTTTTGGACACAACATGTTCCGGGGACTTGCGTCGTAAAAACTGCATCGTAGCGGCTGCAGTGTGGCAGGGTGCGAAGTCTTGGAAATAAAATTTCTTTTTCACGCATTTGCGAACACACAAAGCGCGCCAACATCCAACGAGAGCGTGCGCCGTAGACGGTTTCTCCAACTTTGGAACCAAAAAAAAAAAAAAAAAAAAAATGGTCCGATGATGGTTTTTGGCCACATTCCGCCACAAACAGTGACTTTGTGGTCGTGCAGTGGTGTTTCTGTAACGATTGTTACCAATGCAAGGCGCTCTGATTTCAGTGCGTTCTTTCGGTTTGTATTGGTTCATGGTTAAAATGGCACTAAATGACGTTTCAAAATCATGCACATTTGTTAAAATCGACTAAATGGTGCACGCTTTACTTATATGTATGTGTGGATCACTCCCTCGCTGCTCCAAAATCTTTCATGAAAATGCCTATATGATAGCCTCGCAGTTAACCAAACGTATCAAGTTGAACGTATAGGAATAGGCTCCCGAATCTCGAAAAAGTCTCCTGTTAATCCACGTAAAAAGCCACCTCTTCACCGAATTTCGGGTAAATCGAACCCAGTCCCACTTCAAGATCCCTAAGAGAAGAGAAATGTTCCTTGTAATAGAAGCCAAAAGCCACCTCTCCACCGAATTTCGGGTAAATCGAACCCTAAACACGATTTTTTCGAATGCTCAGTCCCACTTCAAGATCCCGAAGAGAAGAGTAATGTTTTTGGTAATATAAGCCAATAGCCAGCTCTCTACCGAATTTCTTGTAAATCGAACCATAAATATGCTTTTTTCGAATAGAAGGATCCCTGGTCGACTTCTCGGATACAAATACATTCCCATGGTAACTTGGTAAAAAAGTTTTAAAAGGTTCAGTGGTTTAAGTTGTGTCATTTAAATCTAACAGCGCATTTGTGCAACAAGCTTGGTTGACACACCTCAGAAACTGCGGAACTAGCTTGCGTAGTAATAGACGGACAGCACTCATGGCTAAATCATCTCAACTCATCATTCGGATACGATCGGAATATATATACTCGTATATATAGAAGGGTCGATGCCTTCACATTCTGGTTCTTCTTTACATGAAATAATAAAAGCTTCTACCAGAGAGGAGGAATAACTGATTACGACTACTTGCCTTGAAAGGTATGGTGGTGAACTTCAGAGTCACACAGAATTGACCTGTAAGCCTGCTGGATGTTATTTTCTTTTGGATATTGGTCGCACGGGGATTTTAACCCGAGCCTCCCGAATGACAGATGTCTAAACCTTCTGCCTGCTGTGACGATGATACCTTTGCTACCGACCCCGGCTTTAAAAATTAAATAATGTAGCGGGATCAGTCACCATTGGAGCCCTCGGGGAACTCGCAGAATATATCCCATTGGTCATATATTCTTTCTCTTCCGACCGCACGTGGTGGTTCTACAATAATACAAATTTGGTAGTTCTCATGCGTTAATCTTTTAACTGGAGCTGGATTCCAAACTCAGTGCCGCATTTGCTGTGCGAGGAGCTGTGGTTAAAAATAACATCCAGATTTGCAAAATTGGAGATGACAGCATCATTTTTGTCGGCACAAGACTAACGTAAACCGCGGTGAGTTTTCTGAACACCTATTATAGATATGATTTACCCAAGCAAATTGTTGTTGTTTAATTAGGAAGGTAAACTCCGTAAACTCATCGAATTTGAGTCTCGCAATCGCTGAAGCGAGTTTTGGCCGAGCTCCTCTTCCAATTTGTGCTTTTTGCGTTTTGAGACTTTTCCAACAAATGGAGGGACCTACAGTTTATACTAAGCCGCCTCCGATAATTTTTGATGAGGAGCTACTATTTCATGTCAGAAATACACTCAGACAAAATTAAACTTAATTTTTTATTTAAATTCATTTTCTATAACTTTTTGAATGTCAGTATGACACCAGGATTTGAATCCAAGCCTTCAGAACGGCAGTACGCAATGCGAACCACTCGCCTACCGCGGCCACCTCTTTAACATATTCAGACCAAAAAGAGAGAGAGATGTTAGAAGAGTTGGCTTTGCGAAAGTTTAAAGAGAGGCCGTGTGTTCAAGTTTAGAGAATTTAGAGAATTGGAAGTTTAACACTCTAGATTCTCCGACCTTAGTCTTCTGAAGATATCGTGGATCTCATCAGGCAACAAGGACTCCTCATCTGTAATGGGTGCTGCTTCGATCCCGATTACGCCACTCACGGGTGGAAAGCTCATGTCAATGTTGATAAATACAGTGTGGTGGGGGCGTTTATGTTCTATATGGAAGTGGTTCCATCTATCGGTTAGATCTTGCAATATATGTGCTGAGCCCGCGTAGTCAAATGCAAACTCTAAAATCATCATCATTTCCATCCTGCTTTAAGTTCCAGGTGCAAGGACGTCGATACCAATCGATGAATCGACTGCGGGAGCCTTCGAGATAAAGGTTTTGTGAAAAGATTTATGGTGCTCTGTGTTAGGGCGGCAGTGACGATGAATGAGGAGATATATATGACGAGGTTGGCATATTTCATTCAGTGAATTAAGGTTACACTGGCTAGGTCAGAGGAAAACCTCCACTGTGATGTAAGCATCAGATGTAAAAGAGCCTGGATTCACTTTTCCAAAAGCCAAAGGACTACTAATATTGCATCTCCGGTACAAAATCAAAACATCAGCGAGGAGGGAACCTTAAACTGGGGGTTCCTCCACCTTTCGTTTTAACATATTTTGTGTCAAAAATTAGCTCGGGTTGATGATTCCCGCCGTAAATCCATAATTCTGGTGTTGATCTGGTTACGACTAGAACTGATGTTAATACTGGGGCCGCCTCTAAAGTTTTACAGTAAATCACTGCATTTTCTTAACGGATTTTCGAACATTCCTTTTGTTCGACAACTTTCCAACCGCTTCGTACTCATTCTATTTTTTCTTTCGCTCTTCTGACTCAACTCTTTATCAATCACACGACCGTGATGAAAAGTAATTTCCTTTAACTAGCACTTTTTTTTGCGCTTTTGGAGAATAGAAGTGAAGTAGAAGTGGGTAAAAACGGCTTCAGTCTCTATTGTGTCTGCAGCTCACAGATCTCGAAACTATTAAACGTTTTCTCATCAGAACGTCGAAAAGATTTCACCGAAAATATAGAGAGCTGAATCATACATACAGCTTAGCTCATAAGCTAAGCTCAATATATGCAAAGCTTGGGCTCTGGCCACAACATCTGTGACGTAAGACACCTTTTGGCAAAATCTTCTCCGGTGTGGGGGGCCTAAATGTCACAAGAGGTGCAATTAACGATCCGAAGAATGAGTTTTGGTCTAGAGGAGGCCACATTTAAGATTTCGTGAAGTTATGACAGAGAGCGCACAATATTTATTTAAATTTCAATTTTCTACACTTTCTTCAGACACCCTAACCTAAAGACTAAATAAAAGATTAGCAGCTAACAAAATACAGATCGCCAAGTCTTTTGATTGTTCACATCCCAGCTCATCACAGTGTAACCAACGACCAATAAGCGACTTTATCATTTTCTATGTCTGTACATATGTTTGTCACTAAATCGCATCACTAATCAGCTTCCGTTCGCCGTTTCGGACCGCGTTGTTTCAGCTGTATGCTCACCGGCCGACTGGGCTTGTTGATAAGTAACGTCCGCACACCCAACTCGGCCTCACCGCCCGTCCAGGTTATTTCGAAATTCCGCAACAACTATTGATAGAAAGATTATCGATCAGTCAGATGAGATGAAAATTTTATGTAAATGCAATGCAGATACACAGATGCTGAAAGCCGTTTTACGATTCAATTAGCGGGGCTGAGCGAGCGCATGGGTACTTACACGTAAGAGGAAAACGAGAATATTCTGCTCAGCCATGCGACGCGCAATACAAGCGCGCATACCATGACCGAAGGGCAGTACGAGGTAGGGATGAACAGATTGATCGCGATGTAGCCAACGTTCGGGTTTGAAATGCAAGGCGTCCGAAAAATATTTCTCTAAACGGCAGGCGATCATATTTTGTGTGACGACCACAGTCTGTGGAGGAATAAGAAAATCGAAAACAAGAAAATAAGATTTACATTCTCTACCGATCAAATCTTACCCCCTTCGGCACGTGATAACCACTAAGAATCAGATCTTTATTGAGTATACGTCCAACACCAACCGATATGGGATTCAGGCGTAGCACCTCTTTGAGCACAGCACGCGCATAGGGCACTTCAGCACGCAGCACATCAGCCGTTAGCGGTGTCTTTGGCGTTGTTAATACACGACAAGCCTCCTCTTGCAATTTCTGTTGCACTTCCGGGTTCTTCGCGATGTGATATACCGCAAACGCTGTGGTGTACGAGGTGGTATCCACACCGGCTAGTAGCAAGTCCGCTGCCATGCCAACCACATCGCACAGATCGAGTTTGGGATTCTTGAGGTACTCTTCAACCAGTGAGCTGCGTGACATGGTACCATCTGGTGAGTTGGCATCACCATTCGTTTTACTCTCTTTAAAATAATTAAGTTTCTGCGAAACAAAACCGATAGCGACACTCTCCATATATTCCTGTGCTTTACGCAGCCGCCGGTAAGCCGGCGTCTCAAAGTGGCGCCACAATTGCAGCCCCTGATCGGTGGGTAGGATACTCTTATTTGTTGTCTCTGTGGCGCGCATGAGACGAGTAGAGCGTGAGTTTGGCAGTTGCTCCTCTGGGGAGAAGGAATTTAGACGCTCATCGAAAGTCATCAGGCAAGTCACTAGCGAAGTGGGACAGAAAAATGTCAGTTTTTAATGAAAGTCTTAAGCTCTTTGGAACAATTAAACACGGTAGACTTACGCTCTAAATTCAAGCGCGCCAATTTCGGCAGCATGTCAAAGCTCTCATTCAAAGGTAGATGTTCGAGAAACTCTTGTGTCACTAAATCTAAGTCCGTGAGAAAACTACGCACGCTTTTTGGTGCGCTCATCTCCTTTTGCAGCTCCGAGCGTAGATGCCACCACTCTGCGCCATTGCTGGAGGGGTAGACGACTGAAACGCATACAAATTGGTATAAAGTGTATTTCCATTTCTTTACTCACGTTGGCAATAAACCCGCTGAGCGATAGATGTGCGGTCGATCCTTGCGATACTTCTCCAGCGCCAAATGACTGCGTCGCTGTGGAAAGTCCCGCTCATTTAGCAGCGTTGCAATATCATTCGGATCATACAACCATACAATATCCTCGCCCGGTATCATAGTCTCACGTACAATCGGCCCATATTGCTCATACTTGTCGCGTCCCGCTTTGTGCAGCTCCAGCCATGAATAGCGTCCGATCAGCGGCAAATATTGATAGAGTATGCCAAGTCCGAAGGGTCCACGCGGTCCGGGTATATCCTTGAAAGGTTTTGCAAATCCATTTGTTCCGCCATGCTCTGCCAACGATGAGTAAAGTCTGCTTGCAAGTGTTTTACCAACAATACGCGCCATGCTCGACGCTCGGCTCTAGTCAAACAAATCAGTGTCAAGCGCTCGAAACAACGGCTTAACACCGCGGCTGTGTAGAATAAATGAATTTCGATTAACGAAAACATTGCGGAGCTGTGTACAATTGATTTACTGCATGATCTACATTGGCATATTTGTTTGTTTGTTTGTATGTATGTATGTATGCGTTGAAGTTCGAGCTCATAAATAAATGCAAAATCATGCAAAATTAGCTCGCAAAGTTAAGGAGTTTGAAAAATGGTTGAAAATAAAGTGTATGTATGTAAGTGAGATACGTATGTATATATATATGTATACATATTTATTTAAATATTATTTTTGTTCGCTCACTCGCTCGTTCTTCGTTCTCGCAATACATTGTTAGCTTCCACAATAAGATTCTCTTTGCAAGTCGTGGAGCTTGCGCGCATTCGTTTGCGCTGAGCTTGGCATCCACTCCAGGGAACAACAACATCTAACAGCTTTTGGGCTTTTTTGTTTACTGTACATTTATACATATACAAGGGATTAAGAAAATTTCGGTAAGATGACCAAACAAAAAAGCACTCTTCGGTATATCATTTTGCAGATTTTAGGGGTGGGTTTGGTACTGTTGGGCTCCATACGATTTGGTTTCTGCATCGTACTTATGAAACCAAGACTCGTCACCAGTAAGGACTTTACTTAAGTTGCTACACTAACCATTTACGAAGTTGTTTAAGAAGAATTGAGGAAAGTAAACTCGCGCCTTTTTTCGACCTCAGTTAAAATTCCTGGTACCCATCGTGCAAATTTTTTCTTGTGTTCCAGTTGATTACTCAATATTTAATTAACTTTATTATCCAATTCATTAGCAATCATTTCTTGTGACTACACCAGAGCTACAGTGACGTCATGAGTGGAAGATTTTGGTAGGCCTTCTCTGGGTTCGTCCTCTAAAAGTATGTCCGTCCTGGAATCTTCAGAACTACTTGGAAATAGTCTTTAAAGACGGTGCAATCCTTCTATATGCAATTTGGCATTCACTGAATATTGAAAATTTGTATTGCCCGATTTATGTTCTATTAGCACCATTTTGTTCGATAACTTTTTGCTATTTTGAAAGAAATCTCATTTTGTGACTCTCTCCTATAAATCCATGCCCCTACTGGTTAAAAAGCGGAACAATTGATTCTCACAGGTCTCTCTAGAGGCCAATTATTCACCAGCCAAATCATTCACCATAGGCAGCAACAGTTGGTAATCACTTGTGGCGAGGTCCGGACTTTATGGTGGATGCATGGCGGCCGCGGTAGCCGAGTGGTTAGCATTGCGTATTGCCTTTCGGAAGGTCCAGGTTCAAATCCTGGTACGATCAACATCGAAAAGTTGTTGAAAATTAATTTAATAAAAAAATAAGCTGAATTTTCTATATGTGGACGCTCCTCTGCACTGAATGTCAACCCGTCCGAGTGTGCTTTGGACATGAAATAAATGATCCTCATAAAAAAACCATCAGCCGTTCGGAGGCGGCTTAGTATAAACTGTAGGTCCCACCATTTGTTGGAAAAACATTAAGACGCAAACCCACAAATTGGAGGAGAAACTCGGCCGTAAACTGCTGAAGCGGTTACCAAGCGCCAATAATATATATACATAGAAAGCTTCCGGTGCTTCTAGCGAGCCACTAGCGATTTGTATGGTCTAGCGTTGTTCAATTCACCTCCTGTTGACCAAAGCTGGGCGCTGCTGGATGTTTGCTTCTTTCAGACGGTCCAATGGCTGACAGTGCAGGTCCGAAAGAAAAGTTTGGCCGCAAGGGAGCAGCTAGTAGTGGATGATTGATTACCTACCATTTCTAACAAGCACACAAAATAAAGCCTTTCGGGCAGTCATTCCTGGCTTGGTGACCGTTTGCGCCCGCTCTCTGCCCTTCCACTCCGACCATTTTCGTTCCGCATTTCATCACCAGCTACCATCCGCTTCTGAAATGTGTCGATTTCGTTATTATGAGTCAACAACAATTCAGGAATAGAAATTCTGTTCATTAAGTTTTTTCTCGTTATCTCGTGACATTCATACATCGAGCTTCTTTGTGTATCCAGGCATTTTCAAGTTGTTCCAAACTGTATACAGTGCAAAGTTTAGCTCTTGGGCAATCGAAACAGTGCACGCGTGATGGACAGACTGATTGAATTAATTTTATTGATCGAAATTTTCGACAGTTGGTCTGCCAGACCATGGAGCGTCTTAACGTCAATATCACCGGAACGAAATGGACGAAACCAAAATTCTTTCTTTTCACTGTTTGACTCCATCCTGCATTTCCGATGAAATAGAGGTACTGAATCGAAACTTTCAAAACTCTATTGTTCTTATTTGGTGTTATGTTACCATGGGGCAACGGAACATATAAATATCCTATGCAAAACTCTTCTCTCATAAACTCCCAACGCCAACCCATCAGATACTATCAACGTCCACGCTTCTGTATCTTAAAGTAGGACAGGAGTGCTGAGCGACTTGTAGAGTTTGGTCTTTGTTCTCCGACAGAGGACTCTACTTTTCAATTGCCTATTCAGTCCAAAGTAGCACCTGTGTAACAAGAGCGATCCTGCGTAGAATTTCCTGGCTGACTTTGATGCGGGTGCTAATGGCAGTTTCTAGATGGACGAAATTAGCTACAACTTCCATGCTATCACAGCCAACAGGGACGCCGGCCTAATGGTACGAGTACGCTGACTGTTGGTTTATTGACCGAAGATCTTTAATATTGTCCTTGTTCACTAGAGAAAGTAGAAAAAATTGCTTGGCTGTCCAATAATATTAATATCCAACGCCAGCAGTTGGCACATTGTATTTTCTCCATGCAGTTGTCCGATGGAGCTTTTGGTATTGCTAAGCATCAGTACGGTGGGCTTGAGTCCTTTACACAATACGCCAGATAGGACCTTATATGCGATATTGAGAAGAGTTATACTGAGGTTCCGTTCCTCATGTAAGATGTAATCCGGCATTTTCCACAAAAAATGTTTCCTGTTCTTCGTTAAGTTTTTCTTTCCAGCAAGTCCTTCTCACCCTTCAGAGAAGGAAACAATTGCTGCCAGTTTGGAGATACAGTGATTCGCGAAGCAAGAGACAAAGTCGAGTCTCTTAAAAACTGCGGAATATTGCATGCCTGTGCTGCCTAAGGACCCAGTCTGTCTGTGTCTAGCTGACCGTTGGACTGAATGCAAACTTCTTTTGAAACATTCTTTAATACCAAAGGATTTAATGACACATTCTTAGGTTTTTAATTGTCTACTATCAGATTTTAGTTTTGGAAACAGAGTTCAGTCTATTGAAAATTGTGAGAAGCAAACATAAATATCCATTTTTCTTTGTACTTTTTCAGTGTAATTTATAGCAGTTCATGAGGAAAACTGTTACTGTTAATTGTGAGAGGTTTCGACTTTGTGCGTTAGGTCTCGGGTTCCGGGCAGTCCGCACTGTCACTGCTTTTCGTTCACCGATCTGTGGAGCTTTTCGGTTATTCTTTAGATGCGCTCCTCAGTTGGTTGGGTGAAAGGTAGGTAATGTTGGGTTCGTCGTTAAAAACAAGCAGAGTAACTATTTGGAGCAATTTAACGGGAGATTGCTCTGTGAACGAAGATGTTGCACTTGGCGGTGGTTAGAAAGCTTTCCTCCACAGCTTTCACTGGTTTTTCTCAAAGTTTAGTTTTTCAAAAGGTTATGCCTTGAAGTGCATCAAACAATTAGTTTGGTTTCGGCATTTGTGGGCTTGGGGACACCTAAAAGTGCTTACCCGAAAGAGAAATAAACTTTGATTGCGATGATTCTTTTTTAAGCGTCACTCAATTTGTTAGCTCTTCATTGGTGGCCTTTCCTGAGATTTACACTTTTTGATGACTAGAAAAGAAGACTACCTGAGTTGCTGTCTGCGTGGAGATCAAAAGCCACAAGGCTTAGGAGAGGAATGATTGGACAAACCACTTGCGAATGCTGAGCTTTCGGTGGAAACACAATTCAAATAGGAAAACAGCGAATTTAAGGTAATCAAGTAATCGTCTCCAGCGAGCCGTTATTTTTTATTAATTTATTTAAATAAGTTACACTAAACTAAGTAATACATTGATCTATATAACTCATCTTTTCTTTGCGCAAAGCCTAAGCCTTCACCGCCTTTTTTTGTGACTATCATTTGACTTTTTCGATTTATTTTTCTTCTCACTTTTATCCATTTTGCTGCTTTCTTCGCTTCGTAATTTTAAGCCTTTAAACACAACAAAAGCGTTCACGATGAATATTGTCGAGAAGATGACAACCACCGCAACAACATCCAAAGAATGTAAAGTAAGAAACCACGATTCGGCCACGGCTGTCGAGTACAAGTAATCAGTCCCGTGGGCATACGCGATAACAAATTCAATCCACCAGAGTGCGACTTCTAAAGGATCATGCAAGCGATTGCGGAACGCACTCTGTCGAGCTTTTACATACAGTGTACAGTTTTGATATGAAGTCAACGTTCTAATGGCTGTTTTTAAGTTATCAGGGATTGAAGTTAGATCAACGCTTAGACCGAGACCGAAAGATTCTACACGTGTGGCGATCTGTAAGAAAGAGTAAGATGTTAGGAAAAGCCGTTGATGGCAAATTAAATAATCAATGTTTACTTACACTTGTCTCGTGCACGGCGTTCTTTATTGCAATGATGGGTACACCATTGTAGACAGCTTCCTGCATCTCCATATGACTGCCGCCCGTGATGACACCTTTCACTTTACGTTGCTCTATAAAGGAAATTAACATTATTCTTTTTTTTATTTGTAATATTTTACTTTATCAAGACCAGAAATTTTGGAAAAAGTCAAAACAGAACATCTTATCTAGTTGCAAGTAACCATTATCCGAAGTAAAGACTTCCCCGTCTTGTAAACATATGAATCTCAGACTTACAATGGGTAATGCCTACAGGAGCTGGAAAAATTGAGACGAACTTATTTCTGCTAACCAAGACTCCAGCGGCCGTGATAGTCGAATGATTAGCGTTGCGGGCTGACATTCGGTAGGCTCGGGTTCGTATTCCGGTGCCACAAACATCCAAAAGTTTTGGAAAAGTAATTTCTCGGCAGGGAATGGCCACCGCTACAAGTGTATTTCGGGCATAAAAGAGGAGAAAACCCATCAGCCGTTCGAAGGCGGTTTAGTATAAACTGTAGGTCCCTCCATTTGTTGGAGAAACATCAAGATACAAAACCACAAATTGGAGCTCGGCCGAAAAATCGCTTCAGCGGTTACAAAGCAACAATTATATATATAATATATAAGACTTCAGCAAGGCTGTTAATAGTCAATTTTTGTAATCTCAATTTTCCAATACGTAATAATTATGAGCCTTTGTTTGGGTGTGACAAATTTCAGGTATTCAGCCGAAAATCGCTTCAACGATCTATGAAATCAGGAAAAACCGAGACGGTGCTGTGGTGCTTAGGTTCAGATCCAGTACGGAGGTCCTCTTTTCAACTCTGACTATAACATCGTCCATCTCAACAATTGCGCGGTTAGTACCTCGCTTTTCAAACTGAATATGTGTAAGAGTCCGGTAGTGAAGAAGGATATGGCGAATTATCTGCTGCTATTGTACAAACACTCAGGTCATTCCTTTTTGGGCTTTCACCTCACTATTGCCAGTCTGCACATTGCAGTTGTAGATAATCGAGTCTATTATAGGATCGTTATGAATACCAATTATATCAGACTCCTTATTCCTAAGAAGAACTGAGTAGGCAATTCAAAAGTGAAATTCTCTGCCGAGAATCAAGGACCAAACTCTACAACCCACTTATCATTTCCGCTCTGGTATATGTTTCCCTAAGAGTAAGATATATGTTAAGGAAGACGGCTCTAAGAATCTACTATATGTTAAGACGAACGGCTATAGGAATCTTTGATAGAAAGATTTACGACCTTAAGCTTCTAGCAACGGCGAAGACCATACGACATCCAGACTAATGTTACCTGTTGATCTGAACGGAGTTAGGTCTACACTGCAAAACAATTACAACCACAACCAGCAAAATCATTGGCTACCCTACAGCTGGACGAACAAGTGCCGACTCGAACTCGATGTAACAATAAACAACTCGAAGTTATTGGGAATTATATTCACAGCCTGTACTCATTCCATGTGGAGTGAATTACCACAAAACTCTTGGCAAGTACGACACTAACCACATCTTTGCATGCGCCCTAATACCACCTTATCTTACACCCCTTTCCCTTTTGTCTGAGCCCGTCGAAACAACACGTTTTCTGGACCTCCTGTTAGATGACCTCGTTGACTTAGACTGATTTCGTCTGCTCTTAATCGGGGCTAGCGAGCCGCTAAAACAACAACAACAATTGACGTCCAGATGGTGCACAACCCGCTAGGAACCGAGCTGAAAAAAAGATCTTCAAGCTGTGGAAGGATCAAGTCATTAAGACCCGACATTACTTGCTATCTTTAGTTGATGCCAAAGAGCAAAAAATGAGAAACGACTAAAGCGCCTTTGTTGACTTAGCCATAGTCGCGTAAGCGATGTCTACGCCAATCAAAAAAAAAGAGATCTAACCTCGACTATTTACTGCATACACATGGCAGTGTCACGATACTCACCCAAAATATTACTCTTCTTTGGCCATTTTTCAACATAGAGGTTTTTCCTCTCACCAGCTGGTATTCGATTCTTCTTAATACCCCAAATGAAACCATATTCCGGGAAGCTAGCAATTGTGCGGAGTACAATATCTATGAGATCTTGCGTGAGCATTTCACCACCCAGAGTTATGATGATAACACCATCCCTGGAGTTGTCAATAAATGTTTGCATTTCCACCGAGAGTGGACGGTTGACATTATCGAATTGCAAACCGCCAACTTGGATGACATTTGGCGGCAGCGAATGCACATAATTTATTGCCGGATGATCGTTAACCAGCACGATCTTAATGCGATCGCTCGTATCATCTAAAATTGGATTCACGTGCGCCGCTTGTAATGCTTCATCTTGCGCGAGGAGCGCTTGCTGCACCGGCGTCACTGTGTACTTCACATAGCTGCAAGAGAGAGAATGAGAATTTTTTAGTAAATTCTAATGAAATACATATGTATATGTATGTATGCATGTGTGTAGAAGCAATGACTCACAAATTAGCGTACGCATAAACAAATGTATTATGCAGCCGCTCGAAAAAGTTCATGTGCTCCGTATGTGCGCTGGTAAAATGTGGCACTGTGGCCGGTTGTTGTTGTGCGCCGCGTACGATTTTCAACAAATCCGGTGTAATATGCGACGCACTCACCCCAACGATAGGCACATGCTCAAAGAGTTGCGCTAAGGCCAAAATACAGGAACGTCCATGAGTTGCATCATAGAGTATCACATCGAATGGCTCCTCCAAACCGGTCCCTCTAGCGAGTGCTACAAGCTCTAGCAAGCCGTCGGAGGTTAGTACACCTTTACAAATCCTTATTTGTTTATCATACCAATGCAGCACACGCCCGAACGGACTGAGCCACTTGTTCGTGAAGTGATTATGTTCATCTCTCCATTCCAACAAAGCTGGTTCCACTAGTTCCAATAGTATTTTCGTAAATAGTGGTGATTTCGAGTTCATTGTACTGCTGCCGCTCACTACCGTAACTTTATGACCTCTGTCGGTGAGCCCCTTGATAAGTGCATCGTGCCTACGTGCGTTAAGGTGTGAAATGTTTTAATTAATAACTTTTTTTTATAGTTAAACCATTTTAAACTATTTCATTTAACAAACCAAATTTGCTCATCCTCCGGTACAATCTCGATTAAACTGAGTATATTTGAGGTTTTTACACTGCCAAACGCTTGTAGTAATGTCACTAGTAATCCGAATAACAGAAAATTTGTGGATTTCATTGTGGGTTTCTTGAAGCGCGCACAATCCGCTCGCCGCTATGCATACAATTGGTGCGGAACCCGGTTAACAACTGAAGTCTAATTACCACTGTCGCTGCTGTTTTAAGCGCACAAGTGGAATTGCACAAAGCAACCATTGGATTGGGTTGGCCGTTAAAGAGAGGCGCTATCTTATCTGCTTCAGTGGTACGCTTATTTATTATACATGTTTATTTGCTGTGATAAGAAGCCGGCTTGTGGAACCTGTGTGGGTTTGGCAGAGTAATCGCAGTTACTCTTTATTTCAATGAGAGCAATAAAGAATGTTGTTAAAGAGAATATTTCTTGATGAGTAAAACTAATTGATGCAGTTATTTTAGAAATGTTTACATACATAAAAACATGTTTTTCCAACAATCACGAGAAGAAAAGATTTTTCATGGAATTTTGGACAGAATGCTGACGCATATTTCCCAATGAACTACTTACATGAATAAGCAGAGCGAAAATTTAACATCGCATTAATCTTATTATTGCCGAGTTAATAAATAAACTTGAGTGTGAAGCATACAAACTACAGATAGGATGTTGGTATCCTTTCCAAGCGAATATTTAACCTCTAAATGCTAAAATGCTCTTCGACTTGCGACATTCGCGCTCTGAGTTCTGTTTTATCCCCACTGGGGAGGGAAGCGAAGTGTATGAGTCTGATGGTGTGACGAGGACAAGACGAAATATATCCTCTCAGCACACAATCAATTTCCGGATTCGAGACGCAGCTCCATCGTCACTGTTGAAAGTTCGTCTGAAACCAATATTAATGACATCAAGAACATCAGCCTAGAAACTCAACTCAAAATCCCTCTTGCTAACAAACAACTTCTACTGAGTAGACTAATGTAAAGTAAAACCCTCTCTCGATGTACAAAGACCATACCACTTCTGTTATTTGGTGGGGGACTTGAAAAGAAACGCTTTTCGTAAGATTTGTGGTTGAAAAAAGTTGGCGCCAAATAACGAAAAGAAGAAAGAAATGATCAATTTTTCACCGCCTAATTATTCGCCATAGACAGGAAATGATGATAATCAGTTGGTGAGAAGTCCGGGATATAAGCTTTATGCATAAGCATCTTTCAACTAAGCTCTTGGAAATTCTTGCGATGCACTGTCGATGTGTGTGGTTGCTCCCATTGGCCATTGCTGAGCGCATCTATGCGATTGCATCCTTTAGGCGGTCCAATTGCTAACAGTACAAATCCGAATTAACAGTTCGGCCGTAGCCAAATTCTGGAACATTCTTTGCTTAGACTAATGTATGGAAGCATTTCTTTATTACAGCTTGTACAAAAACTGTAGCCGCTCGACCTACCCAAGCGACATTGCTTCACTCTATGGACTCTTGAAAAGTTCCAAGAAGAATCGACATTTTCGAGCCAAATTTTGTGCGGCGATGACGCCCATTTCTGACTCAATGGGAATGTAAACAAGCAAAATTACCCCATTTGGGACAACGAGCAACCTGAAGATATTAAAGAGCTACTCTTTCATGCAGAAAAAACACTGTTTGGTGTGCTTTGTGAGCCTATAAAATCATCGTTCCATATGCCGATGAGAACGTAACCGTCAATGGTGTCTGTTATCGCGCCATGCCAACCGACTATCTGATGACCGAAATTGAAGCTCGGCAACATTTTACTTCACACACGACGCATCAATCAGTGGACTTATGACGAGAACACTGCGGAGAGTAGATAATTTCACGTTTTGAACCGGTCGATTGGCCACTAAGATCGTGTGATATCACACCGTTAGACTTTTCCTGTTACATATACCCTAACGTCTCCGCTTCGTCGATTCAGACCTGGGAGCAAAATATCCCGCTTATCCTTCACTAGTTACCAGTCGAAATGCTCAAACGCGTCATTGAAAATCGAACTCAACGGATGGACCAACTGAGACGTAGCCGCGGCCAACATTTGATAATGAGATAATCTATAAAAAAATATTATATATGCCAAGGAATGTTCTTTCGGATGTCAAAAAAAACTTTCCACATTGGATATGAATTTTTTGTGTCGAAATGAATCACCCTTTAAATTAAGTTTGCAACCGATTAAGCGACAAGAAAACACACAACATTTTTTTTATATATATTTTTTGTTTAAATCAATTACAAATTATTTATTATTAATTTTAATTTATTGTACAAACAACATTTCCTCATAACAAATGAATATTTAAATTTCCCGGCAACGGACGTTCATTACATACTTATTTACATACATACGAGTACATATGTAACTATGAAATAATATATATTTATATTATTTGCTTAAATCTGTGATTCGCTTTGTGAGTTTAATGGAACATTAGAGAGAAAGAGAGTAGAGATTAATGAGATTACATTCAATTACAGTTAGAAAATAGCAATAAACCATCTATTGGCCGGGAATTGAAATGAGAAAAATGCTTCCTCTTCATGTAAATTATGTAAATACATAAACATATATAATATACAATTAATGTATGTATGCACGTATTTATGTATTTAGTTTAGTATGGATTTTATGAAATTATTTCTGAATAAATTTACATTGTATCGTTGTTGCTGTTGTTGTTTTTGCCATAACAGGCAGAGTTTAAGTAGTTAAAATAAATTTTAATATTATATCTGTATGTATATGTACATAATTTTTTTTTATAAATTATTAGTGTTATTAATAAGCATTAAATAATTTATTATAATTTATTTTATTTTTTCTACGGCTAAACGGAAAGAGGAAACTAATTAATTTATTTAAATATATTAATTATTTTTACTACACATTTTTAGTTTTATTGCACTAATTTCTTACAATATATTTTTATTATTATTATCATTATTATTATTATTTATTTTTTTTTTTAATAAAAATTATTATTTAATCAAAATGTATTTTTTTTCTTCAATTAAATATATTAGTTATATTATTTTTAAATATTTTTTTTTTGTTGTTAATATGGCAAGATTAATACATGAATGTGATTTTCACTAAACTAAATAAGCTCGTTCGTTCGACGTCATTCCACGTGATACGGCTTAGAGCCGATGCGCAACGTTAGATGAGACGTTTAAATTATTATTATTATAAATAATATTTTTTTTTTTTAACAAATGAAACTAACACAGACACATACGCATATACATACAAGCACTTGTATGCCTATAAATTCATACAAAATATAAACATTGTCAGACACATGCAAAAACACAGGCTCCAGCCAGCGGCTACCGCTCTCAACTCCACGCGCCATACTTTCTTCTGCTATTTGCGGCATTTCTTTATTATATTAATGAATTATATAAATATATATATTGTAGCTCCACACGGCTTCCCACAAGACTCCTTCTCACACCACTATCCATTCTTTGGCTAGTTGATTTGTTGCTTTGGGTTAGTTTAATTCTACTTCTGCAAGATACCGCCGTGTTGAAGCTGGTTAGGCGCCTCTTTGTCACACATCGAGAACTTCCTCGCCACTTATAGCGAGAGCCCTTAGCATATGCACGACATTGTTTATATTACATGCATCCCCTTCTCGCCTCCACTACCACTGTTAAACAGCCGCATCGTAGGGTGTCGCGCCAAGACCCACATACCGATTGTTATTCCGATGTACAAAACCACGCCCGGGTGATGCGTTATAGTATACAACACGTCGTATGCCAAACGGATCCACATAACCAAAGCTACCGGCGCGTTTCTCACCCTCAAACTGTTCCTCCTCGTGATATTGATGTGGCAGCACGTAGCGGAAGCCGTTCGCTGTTGTGCCGACACCATCATATGGCGGCGCAATTTCGCCCAAACTATTCGGTCGTTGTCTGCGGTGCGCTGGCGGTGCTATTGGTGGCAGCAAACCATCTTCAAGTTGGTTAATCTCTAGGGGGTGCGCATTCGCCGAATCTGTGTGTGTGGCCGTCGTTGTCGCGGGTTTGTAATAATAACCCTGTGTATCGCCCGCAGTGGCTGGCACAAATGGTGCGGGTGTTGAGTAGGCATAGCCTGGACTGGTCGGCGCAGCAGCCGCAATAGGCGCTGGTGGCGTATCATAAACGGCGATGGGTCGCAAGCGCTGACGTGCAGCACCTCTGCTCAGCAATGGTGGTTGCATATCCAGCGCGGGTAGTTGTGGCGCCACGCTATTATCTCGCTGATTATAATCCGCAAGTGAATTACTTGCTGGCGTATCGTAAGCGGCCGCTATAGGATGTATACGTGCTATGGGTTTTTGTATGCGTTCGCGTTGTCGATGCAGCAGACGTGGTAGCTCATCTGGATAATGATCGAAACCTAATTTGCCTGTTGGCTCTATATTGGCTGCCTCAGCTGGTGAAAGATAATTTAGCTTGCCATCGTAGGCTTCTGAAGCGGGATCGTGTGCCACGATGGGCTGGTTGAAGACTGGTGGTATGGGTGTTGTTGTTGTCGTTGTTGTTGTTGTTGTTGTTATTGGATATGCGGTCTTAGGCGCCTCATGCAGCCCATTGCGGCCATTAACCAAAACGCCGGTCTGAGCGGGCACTGATTTTGTGGATTTGATGGCGTCCTGGTTGTAAAAGAAGTAGAGATAGTATTATTACCGTTAGTCCATGAAACACAATGACTTTATAAATACCTCAATGTGCCTGTCGTAGCCCACAAACACAGTTTTTGACTTTAATATGCGATAACCATTTTTATCGGCAATATAGTCCTTTTGTCGCAAAAAGCCCGCAGCGTCTATCCAAGCTTCGGTACCTAAAAGGATTTTTTAATTTAAGTTACATAGACGTTTTTATACATCAACAAAGTCACTAACCCACAACGGTGCCATCTTGAAGACGCCTCTCCTTGCGAAACTGCCCATTATCTGTTTGAAACCGAAAATAACGCTCCGGTCCTTCATCTGTCTGTATGTGATATTGTCCATCACCTGGCGAACCCCAAGAACCTTCCACGACAGCTAAAAGTGATACCTGGAAATAGAAATAATTGTTAGGAACGTTTACTCTGAACCTTCTGCTATAGAATTACGAAAAAGATTACCCGACCACTGAAGCGTCCACGATAATGGAAGCCGCTTCGTGGTTACTCGTTTCTAAAACTATAACCCAACCTATTACAACATACTCTGACAGCCAGACTGCCATGAAATCTCTCCAATGGCTCATACCACCTCAAAGGTGTCAATAAAATGCAGATAGATTTTAAACAAGAAAAGAAGAAGAAGAGAAAACAGAACCGAACCTCCATAAGTTTATTACGCGTAATGACCAGATGCTGTCTTATGGGGAACCATGATAGAAGAATGGATTGCTGCTCCCACGACTTCTGCCGCAGCTGTAGTGTAGGGACATAGATGAGGAGGAATCGGTGGAATATAACCTGCGTCAATGCCCAGCTCTCAATGCGGTTCCTTATGGTTTTCTTGTAAATTTCTTTTTGTTTTGTCTTGCAGAGCTTGCATGGGTATTCTCCGCCTCTATCTTTAACTGGATGGGCATGTTTTAATCTGGATGTGCTGGAAAGGGTCTTCAGATTTTCTATGATTAATCAACGGAGCACTCAAAAAGCAATGTCTACGACGTTATATGCGATTTTGAGTATAGAGCCGAAAGCTGGAACAAAGGTCTGAAATATACAGACTTCATATTTTTACAGACGGTTCTGAAATGAACGAAAGAGTGGGACTTCTATTGCGCTCAAATAGAGAAAATTTATTAAGGTACCAAACATGCTCCAAGCTGACAGAATGCGGCAACGCTACTGCAGGATGTTAGTTTCAAAAGCAAGAAAATATAGAGATATGTGGGCAGCCAAGTGGCCCAAAAGTCCTTAGTTTCGTATAGCACGATGTAGCCTTAAAAACACTGTCTGAAAAACGAAATTTGTGCATCTACTGAATTTCAGGGAACACTGGCATTGAAGGCAATGAGAAGCCAATGAAACCTGGCCAAGGAGGGTGTCCAATTAGAATAGGACGTAATAACAAATCTACTACTTCCATTCAAAAAAGTAAAGCAAATGCAACAAGTAAGATTACTTCGGCAGGCGAATAGACTTTGGGGACAAGCCAAAGACTCCAGCCTCGCGTAAATTATGTGCAAAAGCTATGACGCTAAGCTTGTTTAATCAGTTAAGAATTATATATAAGCCCTATGTGCTATTCAGTCTTAACTTTCAAGACAGCCGGTTCTAAACACTCGAGTTTAAGCCCATTTAACATTAATCTAAGTGCGCCAATGGAACGACACGGCAGGGCTGTTCCAAACACTTCTCATCAGAGCTGGCGTCGAAACCAACTCTGGTCCGTCGGACTATTTCTGCTGCGTATGCCATAAAAGACTCCACCACTCCCCCGCCCATCTTAAGATCTATTCAAGCCACGAGTTAAAGAGCATAATGCTTTGCTATGCAAGTAATTTCCTACGGTGGCATCCTAATAGGCAACTTATAAAAGCTAAACCTCCACCAAAACACATCAGAAAGGGAGTACTTAACATAAAGGACCCCATTAAGCAAGCACTGAACGCTATTCACCAGGAGACTGTCAACACCTTCAAAGACTCCCTTCACGTGAATGGCATGCTCAGAGATAAAGCACCACCTATAGCAGACAACCTGGAGCTGCCTTGAGAGATTCGCCTAGCACTGACATAACTTAGGTATGAATACTGTGGCAGGTTAAGTTTCTACATTGCCAGTCTCGATCCTTTTCACATGCCCCCTTAAACCGACACATCTAACCACCCTCTCCCTCTGGCCCGTGGTAACACCACGTTTCCTGGGCCTCCCATTAGATAACCTCGGTGACTTAGACTGCTTAAACATGTCCTTAAGCAGGGCTAGTGGACCGCGACAACAACAACAATCAGTCTTAACTGAAATGCTCTACAAAGACCCCTATAAAAAAGGAGAACCTCTCAACCGAGCTCCCGGACCTTTTCATTCTCGATGTGTGTGATCTGGCGTAGTGCTAATAAAACACAATTTCCCTACTCTTTGCAAAAGCTTAGAGCTTCTGGGCAATTGATTCCTTCTGACGGTTCGTTAGCCGAGATCCGAATTAAGAATTAGGCCAGAGTAGAGCAGCTCTTAATGGATGCTTTTTTGCCAATCCTACCAAACGCGCAACAAAACCTGCTAAACTCAAAGGTATTGCCCTTTCTAAAGAATGCAAAGGGAAATTGAATCATTTTTTTGTTAGTCAAGGCCGCCTAGGATGTAAGACCCTCGAGTGTCGTTACCCACAATGCGAAATACTAATAATCAGAGGCTGGAATTTGTAACCGCTGAAGCAATTTTCAGCCGATTTCTACTGCAATTTGTTGTGGACATCTTGATGTTTTTTCTACTCCGAACGGCCGAAGGGGTACATATTCTCTGCCGAGGGCCGACTAGTCAATAACCCTTAACGAACAAATATTTGGCCTGATTGCTTATTTCTTTATATCAGCTCCCTTACTCACTCACTTCACACTCCCACTTGGGTTGCGTTGTATATTGCTAAGTAACGAATGTTTTCCAGATATAAACAAAACATAAAAAAATTGTGAAGTAGACAAAAATCAGTTAACTTTCTAAAGATAATCAAGAAGAATAATAAATAGAAAACTAAACATCTCATATTCAGCAAAATATCGGAGAAAAGTCGCACAAATGCCTTCTTTGGCCACCGCATCGATCACCTCATTTAAGCTTGCACGCTTAAGCCGCCCACTGCGTTTCAACGATCCCACATTTCGTGAGCAACCCGAATGCTATTCCATACGCCCATCGCTCGTCGACTACGTACGCCAAGAACTGCAGGATCTCTCACGACGCCTCTTCTATCAGCGTGTTTTTATATTCGCCAAAAACAATTTAGATGTACAACCGTCGGCAGCATTATTGGCACGTCAAGCTGCGCCAGCAACAACTACAACAACAACACATGGCGGTTCATTGCGTTCGGGAAGACGATCGGTGGTATCTAGCTCATCGGGACGACGTGGTACGCTGGATTTCAAAACCATGTTACAAATGGAATTACAACACATCTTGACGACGGACGCTGAAGCTAGTATTTCCGGTGATAGACCAACGGGTATATTCTTGTACATGGGGGACTACTCGATTTTGTTCTTCGAGTGCGTGGAAGATAATGTCGGTAGCATGTGCAAACATTTGAGCCAATTGGCGGATACATATTTTTTAGCGAATAAGATATTTCTCACCGAAGATCGCACTGGAGAGGTGAGTATGCTAAGAGAAACTATTGTAATAGAAAATTATTGTAATATTTACACGCCAATATTTGCTCAGACCTATTTCAACAGCTTCTATTGCCGGCATGCATCACCGATTAATATCAATGAAAAATTCCCCACACACACAATCAACGACCCTGAATTGATGGGTCAACAACACTTGACGATTAAGAATAAATTGAGCGAGCTTTGCGCAACACTTTCACTGGAAATACAACGAGAAATGGAAACTACGTTGCATAGTACGGTGAGTTCCACGAAAGGCACATTCACTTTGTGGAAACCCAATTTAGATTTCGGTGAGTCTTTGTCGCCGCTCATTTATAATAAACTTCTGCCCGAAGTGCAACGCATCGATCTTGTACTCAATTGCAATCGATTCTATTGTAATCTGCAACGTCGTGCCGGCATGTATAATCGTATACCAGCGGAGTTGGATGATAAAGTTAACTCTTGGCCCTTGCCATATAATTATACTCCAGTCGGAGTGTTCGGTCATTCGCCGTACGATGTTAATTTGACCTTCTCCGATTATGGCCAAAAAGAGGAAAAGGCGGAGGAGACGGGTAGTGGTTCGGAGGGTAGTGGGGAGAAGGCCGAAAAAGGCGTGTAACAAGTTGAGAGAAGAAGAGTGAGGAGCATCAGGAGAAAATGAAATTATTCGTATTATAAATATATAAATATATATTTCATGAAAAATAATTGAAATAAACCGCAAATCAGTTTAAAACAAATCCACTCGAATTTTTGTTTGTTTGTTTTATTTATGTCCAATATCTCAGTGCGGACATTTGTAGTTCTTTTGGTATAACATTGAAGTGTTTGCTACTTATTTCTATGACTATCACTTTTGTTTAGTTTTTACAAAGTAAAGTCATAAATTTATTTATTCTCGCTTGGTTACTTAACAAACACCATATAAAGTATACCAATCGATACTCGTTCGCCTACTGCAGTGGAAAAATATTTATTACCAACTACAATACTATCTACCCACAGCGGTTTGGCATGTGAAGCCACTAAAAGACTTTGATCGACAGAAAATGCAGTAGACGGACTTATATAAATCTATTACGTATGATAAGCACACATATTAATGTGAATATACATACATATACTTTAAAAAAAAAAACAGCCTTTTTTGAATTTTTATAAAAAAAAATAAAATAAATAAATAAAAAAAATTAAAATAAATTGATTTAATTTTATTGTTTTCTATTTTTATTTCTTATTTTATTTTGTTTACTTTCCAAAAAGTCTGTTCTGAACTTTTATACAAAAAAAAACATATTAATAAATAAAAAAATTAAAATAAATTAATTTAATTTTATTGTTTTCTATTTTTATTTTTTTATTTTTTTTTATTTTCATTTTATTGCAGTAATTAATAGTATTTTATTTGATTTGCGTATGGCATGTAAGTGGTTTTATTTTATTTCATTTTAATTTATTTAATTATTTATTCGCTTAATTTATCTACCTTACTTTTTTACTTTACTTTCTTTTATTTTAATTTTTTTTATTGCATTGCATTACTTTAATCTCCTTTAAATTACGTACTTTATTTAATTTATTATTTTTAAATTTATATTTATTCATTGAATTGGTATAAGTTTATTGCAACGCATTTAAATTTATAATTATTTATTTAATTTTATTTTTTTTACTGTTCATTTATTATTTCATCCTATTTTTTGTTTTATTTTGCTTAATTTTATTTGACTTTATTTAATTATTTTATTTTATTTTATTTTTTATTTATATAGAGTTTATTATTTTTCTTTCATTTCATTGCATTGCTTTAATCTCCTTTAAATTACGTACGCTATTTAATTTAATTATTTATTCATTTAATTTGTTTTAGTGTATTGCATCGTATTTTATTTTATTTTATTTTATTTTATTTTATTTTATTTTTATTTTTTTTATTTTAATTTATTTCATTATTTTTTTTAATATTATTTTACTAAATTTTATTTGACTTTATTAAATTATATTTTGTTCTCTATCATTTTATTTAAATTTTTTTATTAAATTCATTTTATTTGATTTATAATTTTTTTATTTTTATTATTTAATTTAAATCTATTTTTATCCATTTTATTTTAGTCACTTTTTTCCTTCGGTTTTAATTCGGTTTTATTTAAAGGTTATATTTTATACTATTTATTTTTATTTTTTAATTATATTTATTTTTTTATTTTACACTATTTAATTTTATTATTTTATCTGATTTTGTTTAATTTACATTTATTTTATTGTTCTGATTCATTTCAAACTATTGAATCATGTTTATTTTAATTTATTTCAACCCTTTTTATTGTATATTATTTTGCCTTATTTTATTTTATTTATTTATTTATTTTAATATATTTTATTATTTTAATTTTTGTTTTAATTTGTTTTTTTTTTATATTTAATTATGACTTATTTTTTATTTTAAATATATTTATTTGGGCTTCCTATTATACTTCTGATTTTTTAATATTATTTATTTTTGTTATATTTTATTGTATTTTACTTTATTTTCATTTTATTTTACTTTTATTTAATTAGATTTCAGTTTTATTGTATTACATTTAATTATAATTTAATTTATCTTATTTTACTTTTTTTTTTTTGATTACTCTATTTTATTTTATACTATTTAGTTTTTTGTATTATTTCATTTTGTTATATTTTAATTTATTTTATTTTTTCATCCTGTTATTTATTTTATCTTATTTTAATTCAGTTTTTTTATTTTCATTTAATCTTTTTATTTTATTTTAATTTTTTTTACTTGATTTATAAATGTTTTTTACACTTTTTTATTACTTTTACATTATTTCGTTCTAATATATGATATTTAACTTTTTTATTTGACCTTATTTATTATTTATTTTTCATTTTATTTAATTTTATGTTATTTGATTTTACTTTAATTAAGTTTATTTATTTATTTTTGTTATCGTTTGCTTCAATTTGTTTTACTTCGTTTTTTGATATTTAATTTTAATTTTTTTATTTTCATTTATTTTTTTCTATTTTACTTTTTTATTACTTTTAATAATATAATTTTTCAAATTATTATATTTTACTTTATTTTAAGTATATTAGTGTTTTTAACTTGTTTTATCTTAATTTTATATTCAATTTTTTTAACTTATTTTATTTCAACTTTATTTGATTTATCTATTTTATTTTATACTTTTTGATTTTAATTCATTTCATTTTTTTTGTTCATATTTATTTTTTTTATCGTTTTTATTTTAATTTATTTCTAATTTTTTATTTAATTTAATTTATTTTATTTAATTTTATTTTCCTTCACTAAATTTTATTTTACTTTCCTTTTATTTACTTTATTTTATAGTATTTTTTAATCTTTTTTATTTTATTTTATTTTAATTTACTTTATTTTGTGTGTCATGATGCGTTGCATAACTTCCTATCACTTCGCATTTAATGATCTGCACTCAAACGCTCATGCACTCACATAATCACCTAAAAGTGTCAGTTCAATGTCAAATCGCTTATACGCCGTGGTACATCACCATCACCGTCGTTATTCAAGATGTGCAGATCGAACTTCAAACAAAAAAAATCCGTTTATCTGCGCTCACTAAAGAAATAGTTTTGTATTTGGTATTAACTATGCACTCATATAAAAGCAAACACCACTCAAACGCTCATTCACTCATTCAAATACTCAACCAAGCGTATAATTTATCGTTCAATTGCTCATTCATTCACAAAAAGTAACAACTTGTTTCTTCGTTGCCATTTATTTCCAATATTTAATTACCAAATACATACATACATATGTATATATGTAAGTATATAATTAAATCTGCAGAGCTTTGTAGTTGTTGTGACGTCAACAAGTGGACAAACGAGCTCTTGAAGATGCGACCAGAGTCCAGCTACAAGCACATGCACTTGATCACATACATTGACAGGGTCGAGATCAACGGCAAATGTTTTAACGACGCGAAAATGTAAACAAAGAAGAACCGGTAGTTGGAAAACGAAATCACAAAAATAGTAAATAAAATTAATAAACAAGAAGATGAGCGTGAAGAAGTGCCGCCAAAATGTGTGAACGACAACAAATGGTCGAGTAGGCGAGGTGAGGTGAAATGCGGAGAGGTGCTGGAGTGTTGTGTTAGTAGCGGTAGTGACTGTGAACCGTTGCGAATGTAAACAAACAACTTGCAGACATTATGACTTCGCCATGGCGAGTGGTTGTGTGCCATTGTTGTTGGTATATAATACACTAGTAACTGTGTCGTTGTGGCGCCAATACTAGCGAGTTAAAAAATAAATAAAAAAATCACAACAAAAACTCGTGAGTGCGCCAAAAGAGCAAACCAGTTGTTGCGCTTCTGTGGTTAGTAATTATTATTATTTTTTCCCCCTTTTTTCACTACCATTTGAAATCATTTCCGTTTTTTGTTATGGAGATCAGCTTCAACGATTGCGATTGCGATTGCGAGCTGCAGTCGGGCGAGTGAGAAAAATAAAAACAACTCTGCAAGCCATAACTGTAATGTAGTATAATAAACGAGTTGAACACAACGAGAAATTACGCAAGAGCAGGGATGCGGAATATTGATGGGTGCAAATGATAATGGAAAAAGCGAACACAGCAATGGCAATAACTAAAGTGACAGTGGCAGTGCCAATGAAAATGCTCTCCGATGGAGCACAGCAATATTCATGCGAAGTAAGAAATCAAGTTTACGATTTGAAATATAATTTTTGTTGTATTGTCTGCATCTCGTTTTCCGCTGTCAACCTCTGATTATTAGTCATAACAAATGGTTTTGACATTAAAATTATTTATATAGGCGCATTCAAAGCCAGCTAAAACATTGCCGTGGGCTTATGGAAGTTTGCATTAAAGGTTTCCTCCATAAATTTGTTTAGATTGACGAAGGGGGGCGGGTGTAATGGGGTGTAGTCAAGCTTCTGGGTATGCGGTTACAATTGCGAGGCTATACTCAATTCCTACTCTTGCGTCCACGTCTCGCACCCTGGAAACGTGTGCAACCCTTGTGCAAAATGCGGTGACCAAAGTAAAAGTTATTCGAAACTTACCCCTGAATGGGTGACTGATAGCCGACGTTATAGTCATGGATCTAATGAAGTTTATTAGAGGTTCGAAAAGGTTAGATAACCGAGCTTAATATTCAAGTGTTTCTGCATCGCAATGTGTCTTAGCCAGGCCGAAGTGCAATCGATGTCTAAGCCAAGTTCTAGATGAGGCTGAACAAACACAAAGGCTTATCTCACTCATGCCTACCTACCTACACTTGATTCATGCGTAACTGCTACTACTGACTGCTGGCGTGTAATAAAAATTGGGTTGTCATTAGGCTTACAAATGACCTGCAGTTTTTTGGAAATGGCTTTTGAGAATGTCGGTGGTTTCTTGTAAAATCCTGCCGATTTCTTTATCGATAAAATTTCACTGCTATGAGTATTCTAAGAAAAAGGAAAGCTAACAACACAGTCTCGGACGAAATAATGTCGCTTGCCGCCGCCTGAAATGAGCCGTAAAAGGCAGCGTAAAATTAAAACGATAAACACCTGTAGTCAGAAAAAATTTAACCCCAGAAAATAACTAGAATTCAGCTTAGAAAGAGGAGATAGGTTTACTGAGCTTGTAGAAGTGGAGAAACCGCCACATATTGCTTCATGTGAAACACCGGTGAACCCTTTCCCA